TAAGGATACGCCTGACCTGGTAGTACACGTGAAACATGAACACAGACTGACTCAGCGGTCCACGCCGAGTGTCAGTCAATACCACACCACACCCCGTTGTAGCGCACCACACGGCGAAGTTGAGTTGATTCTGCCAGAACTGCATCGGGTTGTTGAACCAAGCGTGGACTGCCTTGACGTTAGTCACCGAAAGCTTATACCGGTCGAACACATCTATAAACTGGGCGTCGAAATACATCCCATCAGCGACCACAATCTTCATGTGGGGGAAATCTATGTCCAGTTTAGGGTAAAACACTCCCGGGGAGTACATTTTAAAAGTATTATATAATGAGTATATATACTCTAACATGTACATAACACTTCCAGGAATAACGAGCGGCGAGGCCGTTCACCTGATGCACACGATCGATAATTCGTCGGGTCAACTCGAAGTCGCACTCTGCGATATCACCTACCTACCACGATGGACTAACATCAACGTCAACAACAACAAGCTATTCGTCAGTGGCACCCGCAACCACATAACTGACGGCTACTACAGCGTGTGTTCGCTAAGCGATGAGGTCTTCAAGCCCCTGGGAGCTGAACTCAAGATGAACGACTCAAACGGCACAGTGGTGTTTATCAACAACGGAAGAAACCCCTTGAGGCTCGGCCGACCATTGGTGAGGACACTCGTTATGCCGCCGGACGAGATAAAACCAACAACTACCGTCACAGGCACGAAGTTACCCGACCTAGTACCATACCGAGAGCTGTGCATTCATATCGGTCAGCTGAGCACAACGGACAACATTCAATGGGGTCACCCTTCCACGATACTGAGAACCGTAACCGTGAAAACGGAGAAATACAACGACGGCAGAACCGAGTCGTTTTCACCGCGGCAGTATAAGAGGTTAACTCGGGGCAACATCCCTGAGCTGGTAATATTGGTGTTAGATATAAATCATAATCCTGTGAATATAGGATACCTCAGCATAACGCTGCACATAAAATGACTAGCGCACAAGGTCCCGGGATGAAGTTGAAAAAATGCATCAATGCGGGGATCTCCGACCTCGGGGACACACGCGAATTCAACGACCCCGGAGTAGATGGTAAATTGTACGCCTTGCAACTGAAAAACAACATTTACAAACGCGTTGAAGTCCCCTCCATCGGTGGTACTAGAAACCTAAGTGATATAGTAGATGCCTCAAGAGCGGTCGTCAACACTCGGTACGCCCTAGTCAACACCAGTGATGATAAATGGCTGGTATACCCATCGTTCGGCGGCAAACTGTTCGACTTAGAAGATGTTGAGAGCAACGTGGCGTCCATAACCAAAAATAAGCAGTATTCCCTCGTCTTAACCGACGACGACAAGTGGGTGTTGTTGCCCGCTAAAATCGACTGGTTTCTCAACATTAGGCTCGGCTCCCCCTACGTGTTCACGGAGAACAAAGACAACTACCTAAACAAAGTCGTGGAACAACGGAACCCTGCTCGTGGCTTACGTCCGACGAGACGAGCGTGTAATCATCAGTCCACTCGCCAGTATGGCAGCCCACATGCTATCTAGCAAGCCCGGATGCAAAGCGTGGTATTGCAGTTGGTGTCTGAATTAAGGCGTGGTCAACATCCTGGAGAGTCTACCGGGCGAACTCAACACTGGTCATCCAAGTCTACCTAGGGGAACCATCGCGGGATGAAGTCGAAATCGTGAAGGGGATCAAACTCCGGTGGGGGAAACGACACCAGTATCACATTTGCACTGTTTACGTGCGGGTGGGTGTCGACTCCAACACCAGTCTGCAGGGGGTCACCGTGACCGTGGAAGACACGATATCACTACCAAGATCTTCCTACCTGACAACATACACTTCATGGGGGTGAAGTGCATTCCTGAGAAATTATCAGAAAAACAATTGGAAACTATCTCGTAATAGTATTATAGCAATGATTAGGCACCGGCCCAACGCTACGCTTAACGATCTAGGAGACACGGAGGGAATCGATCAGCCTGGTGAGGAAGACACCTTATACATCCTGCACTTGAAAGACAACGTGTATAGGCGGGTGTCGTTATCAGATTTTAAAGAGCCTGAATGGCTGCTCAATATGACCCTCACCGCACCTTATATCTCATTAAAGGAATAAAGTCGTATCTCTGAAATTAGGAATAACGGTACCTTGCCCGGGGGTTTCATTCCGGGGGCCTAATACAAATATTATACTAAGACCGGTTCTACCCAATATGTTACAGCCAGGGGGGTGAGTTAAGGTTTAACCGCTACTGGTACCAGGAGGTTCCGGCTATGGTACCAGGCTCCACACTCATCATAGAAGTCTATCTCCTGAGACATTCTGTTAGTAAAGAGCAACAGCTTTTACCCGGGGTGACAGTACACTGGAGTCCCCGGACCAATAACCAACGCTACTGTGATCATCATACAACCGACCCCTCAACGGGTTCTATAGCCCCCTCAATAAGACCCTCCTATGGGGCTCGTGTGGACGCAGAGTTACCTATTAACCTCTCACCTATTCCCCTGCATGAGGATCTATACCTTATAAGCTTCAAGTACGTTGATCAGCTATTAACTGAAGCCCAATTAAAAAATATCTCATAAGATATATTATATGCACCCAGGATGGGGTTGTACCCAGTTGTAGAGCAAGTAGCGAAGACACTGGAAACCGCTTGAGACAGTTATGTGATGTAAAACGCCAACTGGAACAAGACCGTGACGCGCGGAAAGCACTATGTAAGAAGTACCATAGAGCAGTCAATATCGTGGACGGGACTGATACCGCCCTTATGGCGACCAGCATGGGACTAGGGGCAGAAGGTGTCGGTTTGTTGACAACCATCGTAGCCGCACCCATAGTGCTGGGCATTGAAATAACAGCTGGGGTGTCAGGGTTGACTGGATTGGTATTTAAGTTTGTATCTCGCAAATTGCACCGTAAAGCATTGAAACACGACGAAATTAGAATTCTAGCTGAAGCAAAGCTGAACACGGTAAGTGAGCGTATTTCCACGGCACTCACTGACAGTAAGATTTCAGAGGAGGAATTTCGTTCAATCCTCTCTGAACTCGACAAGTACCGTAATATGAAACAAGAAATCCGGTCCAAGTCTCGTAAGTCTGCTATCAGCGAAGACGAGAAAAAAAAGTACATAGAACAGGGGATACAAAAAGCCCAGCAAGCCTTTATTACAAACACCAAAGAGATCATAGACGATTCACATTAAACTGTTTCATTGAGGTCAACGCCACATAGTGTCATGTGCTAGTTCGTGGTCATAGCAACACTATTGTGCCACGTGGGGTCGGGAAGTTAACTGGGGGTTCAAAAGTAGTATATACAATGGTGGCGAGATCTAAGGGCCTAACAAAAGCTTTATTTGTGAAATAAAGCTTTACAGAGGCTTTTGTTGGACTTGATCTCGGACAATCATTATATATACTACTCTTTACGATGCAGGTGGCGATGCTCTGCTTGGGCCTTCGAAAATATGTTTCAATCTGTTCTGGTTTTCTTTTTTTGTTTTGTTTATTTGTTCGTTTTTGTTTTGTTTGTTGTTTTTCTGTTGTTGTTGCATTTTTTAAATTTGTTTGGGGTTTTAGTTTTGGTTTTGTTATGACAGCGAACGAGTAAGAGTATTTTATGTTACATTAGGCATTAATTTCTACTCCAGCTGGGAAAACTGAGATAAGAAAACTTTGAATAGAGTTACGGCAGGCAGAAGACGGGAAACATGAAGAAAAAGAAACACGGACAGCAACCACGGTGTTTTAATAGTCATAAAGCGTACCTAAAATATATATTTCACGCCACATGCGTTATACTATATATATATTTTAGGTACGCTTTACTGACTTTTCATTTTCGAGCCATCCAGTGCCTTTAGTCCTTTCACTAGGTACAGACAAGTTACCTATCACTTAAGTCAGTAGGACGTATATTGAAACCTCAGCATGATGCTTTATTTTTTAAATAAGTTGTTGTATGCTCGTTTGTTATTAGGGACCGTTCACAAATTCTGGCTAGGGGGGGGGGATAATGGTTTGTATAGAGAAGCATGTATGATGTGAATGTTTGATTCAAGTGTAAGAGTTGTATGCATGTATATAAAGGAGTTATTCCTAACAAGCACTTGCTAGTCTGGTAGATGCATCCCAAGTTCTGACACACTGAGTGAGTTATATTCCAGTCAGCAATATCTAACACTCATTACAAGCATACCTTACTGCTACCACTATGAGCACTTTGTGTAAGATTTAATTTTAATGAGACTAAGTACATTATGTGCCAGTAAGTAATAAACGTGTGACTAGACAATCCCGTGATTAACATCATGAGCCTCGGTTTCTGAAATTGGGATTTGATGACAGCCAAGTCAGGGAGCCTGGGCCCTTATTCTCGAAACGTTCGTAGCTCTAAGAATTCTTAACTTTGATCGTAGCCAATGTGTTAAGAATGGGCTTGAAGTTCGAGTTACGTTTTAACCTTTAACGACTCTCGAGATCTTTTACCTGATCTCCCTCAATTCTGCTAGTAGCCTTTTACCACAAGTATGGGTTGCTGAAAACCAATTCCAAACCTGATGTTCAGGATGACAGTATTCTGGCAAAGATTACATCATGTGCTTACTTAGTTACTTGGTAAATTCCCAACAAGAAACACAATCACCTTTTGTCAGCCAGTTTAGTAAATATCTGAAGCAACCTTTGGCCTTCCATCCACATTCATTTGGAGCCTTGATAATGGTGGCTGAGTGAGTGAGTATAGTTTTACGCCACTTTTATCATTATTCCAGCAATATCACTACTGGGTACACCAGAAATGGGCTTCACACATTGTACCCATGTGGGGATTCCAGCACAGGTCTTCGGTGTGATGAGCAAACACTTTAACCACTTGGCTAGCCCACCACCCTGGCTTAAAGGAGTGACTGCCAGTTCACTACCACAGACAGACCATGCCCTTGAGTTCATATACAAAAGTTTAATCAGTAATAATTTATTGATTAACAACATAGAAAAGGCATTTATAAATTGACAGTAGAGTTTTGATAAATGTCATACATGTCAAACAAAACATTGATATTTAACAAAATATGCTGAAAAATACTGAAGCACAACAGGGCATTATTCATCAGCACAATGATAAGTAGTTAAGCAAAAACTCCCCAGATATCACTGCATTTGTGATAATGTTATTTTAAAATTATTACCATATATGTAATAAAACTGCTTCAATGGCTCTTTGTAAGCTCAAAAGCATTACATCTCGCATGCTGAGCAAGCATAAAACATGCTGAGCAAGCATAAAACATTAACACATCACGTTAAATACCATCAAAATATGATCTTGTATATGACAAAAAGAGCCTTTAGTGGCATAGCTTATATGACATTTGGACATACAACAAAGGTTAGCAGCCCCAAACACACAATATGCCACTATTGTATGACAGTTTCTTGTTTGATTCTGTGTGTCAGGTCATCTTTTGTTCAGGTCAGTTGTCATAGGTCAAGGTAACATATCACATGCTCTCCAAGCCAAAAATACACAAGACAATCTCTTGCCAGACATATTTGCCTTCAAGGCTATGGTAGGTCCAAGGCATTGGATGCCTTCAATAAAACAAACACTATCTCCTCAAAACTATGACATCTCTAATGAACATATATTAACATTTTACAGGGTATTTTCAAAATATATTTAACTTTTTTTGTCATTCTTGTCAGTTCCATTGCTTATCATTAATGTGTCTGGTAAAATAACATCCAAAATAGCTATGAGGAGGAAATCCTCCTATTACACTCTGATATTGTGAAACTTGGGAAAAATGTGCTGAGTATCAAACTAAGGTAAATGTCAATCCATTATTTCATAAGGCAATTTAAAGACATTCATCAAAATATATTGGGGGAATAAAACATTCAACCTTCTGTCAATGTTCAACCTTACCTGTAACAGGTAATGTCTTCCTGTAACCATGGTTACTGACCCTGATAAAATTTGTCATTGTGACCATTTCAATTTTGAGTGCACACATCAAAGTGTATGTAAATATGCAGTCACAATTTTTTAGTTCACATAAAGTTAGTTTAAATGTCATAAATACAGATGCATATTTAAAGTAAATATTTGCTTAATGTATGCATGATGAATAAAATCAGCTAGATCGAAAGAATACCTGTAGATTGAAAGAAGGAAAGTGACAATATTAGACTGACTGACTGAAAGGATACTGACAGATCAGGAAAGAAAATTTGAAACTGCTTGCCTTAATTTCGTAACTTAGGACAAATGATTTGACAGTGTCATGAGCAAAAGTTCAGCAATATGTTTACGGTGTGATGTTTAGTGCAGAATGTAACCTGATCAAAGCCAAAAGACTTTTACAGAAAACTACCAATGTGAGTGAGTGGATCCTGTCTGAAATGCTAGGTCACAGAACCAGAAAAGGACTTGTTGAACATCACGAGTTGTGAATATTGTGGCTGTAAGGTATCAAATCCGAAACAAACAACATTAAAGAGTGAGTGAGTGAGTGAGTTATATCACACGGGAGAAAAACCTGAAGCAAATCAGGTCTTAAATGTTTAGATTTTTTTTAATGCCCTAATCACGGATATGTTGCTATCAAACCAAGGCTGATCAATTATCATCATTCCCTTATTTTCTGTCAATAGTAACAAAACGTTTCCATCATGTTGGTCACCTTACTCATGTGGTATATTCTTGGGCACAAATTGATTTCACAAGAACATATGATATGCATTAAACCATAAATAAGCTTCACATGACTGACAATGGATGGAAAATGCTTTTTCCACATGAACGAACATAGGCTGTGATATTCTGCTTGATCATAAGGGATGAGGTAAGACGAAGGCCATTTGTATGCACTGAGACAGGCCAATGTTCAAATTCTGAAACCATGTAAACAAGTATATGACTGACAAATAGCTTTTTCTGTCTAGCACTTGTCAATTAATATGCAGCCTGTGATCAAAGTCAGTTTGTCAACATATGTTGGAACAGACTTTACTTACACCTTTTTAAACAGTTTCGGTTAAAGATTCACTCACATTCACTGAAAAGAAAAATACCTCCAGAAAAGTCATATCAGCTCATGGGAGACATTTGACCTTCAGTCTGTATTGAAGTTTGAAACATGCAAGACTTGAAAAGAATAAAAATAAAAATTGTTTATCAACTGAACACATTCTCATCACATTCAAACACTTTCAAGCTTTCCTCATTCGAAAAGAAGAGCCAAAAATGTCAATAACTTTATAAAACCACATGCTTGAAGACTGTCATAATAATCCAAGTCACAAAAACATTGTATAAATATCATACAGATTATAAAAAGAGAAACATCATGCAAAACATTAGAGTATTATGATATGACAAACGTTGAAGATAAATCTTTGAGACACTGAGCAGTGCAGACACTGTGCATAGGTAGAATACATAGGTAGAACATCCAAGTATAATCCAGGTAGATCAGACAGGTAGAACACACAGGGACAATCCAGTTAGAGCATACAGGTACAATCCAGGTAGAACACACTGGGACAATCCAGGTAGAACAGACAGGTAGAGCATACAGGTACAATCCAGGTAGAACACACAGGGACAATCCAGGTAGAACAGACAGGTAGGACACACAGGTAGAACATACAGGTAGACATGATGAGGGTGATCACATCACATATGAGTGGCAACAGTACCATAATTATTCTAATCATATCAAAAATTTGTAAAAACAGTCAGTGCAATATAGTTTTGGGATGTTGGCTCTCTCCAAACTAAGATCAGGCTGCCGTTGTACAAAGTGATCTTAGTGCTAAGGTGATCATAACTCCCATACCTCAACATAGACTTACAACCGGTGTAGCACTAAAGATGCTTTGTACAACAGATTTGTACAATTCTTGTTACAATACGCAAGTTTTCATAAAATTATTTGTGTTGATTTTTACAGTTATTTTCACAATACAAAATAATTATGGTACCAGATAGTTAACACAAACAGGTTGTACTGTTTATGAAAAATATAAAGTTTCTCAAGGGGGGGGACTCTTCCATTCCCTGACATACCCTCCCTCAGTATTCCATGGGGCATGTTATAAAGAGGCTCTTCGATTTGCTGACTTATCCCTCCCTCAGTATTACAAGGGGCATGATATACAGAGGCTCTTCCATTCCCGGACATATCCCTCCCTGGTATTCCATGGGGCATGTTATACAGAGGCTCTTCCATTCCCGTAAAATACCCTTCCCTTGGTATTCCATGGGGCATGATATACAGAAGATCTCCGATTCCCTGACATACCCTCCCTCAGTATTACAAGGGGCATGATATACACAGGTACTTGGGTCCCCTGACTTATCCCTCCCTCAGCATTACAAGGGGCATGATATACACGGGTTCTTGGGTCCCCTGACATATCCGTCCCTCAGTATTACAAGGGGCACGATATACACAGGTTCTTATATTCCCTGACATATCCCTACCTCAGTATTACAAGGGGCATGATATACACTGGTTCTTATATTCCCTGACTTATCCCTCCCTCAGTATTACATGGGGCACGATATACACAGGTTCTTATATTACCTGACATATCCCTACCTCAGTATTACATGGGGCACGATATACACAGGTTCTTATATTACCTGACATATCCCTACCTCAGTATTACATGGGGCAAGATATACACAGGTTCTTATATTACCTGACATATCCCTACCTCAGTATTACAAGGGGCATGATATACACAGGTTCTTGGGTCCTCTGACATCATCCTCCTCAGTATTACATCCCTCCCTCAGGGCATGATATACACAGGTTCTTGGGTCCTCTGACACATCCCTCCCTCAGTATTACAAGGGGCATGATATACACAGGCTCTTGGGTCCCCTGACTTATCCCTCCCTCAGTATTACAAGGGGCACGATATACACAGGTTCTTATATTCCCTGACATATCCCTCCCTCAGTATTACAGGGCATGATATACATTCTTGATATACACATATACACTGGTTCTTACAAGGGGCATGATATACACTGGTTCTTATATTCCTGGGCTTATCCCTCCTCAGTATTACATGGGGCCTCGATATACACAGGTTCTTATATTACCTGGACATATCCCTACCTCAGTATTACATAGGGCATGATATACACATATCCACCCTCAGTATCATGGGGCAAGATATACACAGGTTCTTATATTACCTGACATATCCCTACCTCAGTATTACAAGGGGCATGATATCAGTGTAGGAAAGATGTAGAAAATCTAGCCTGTCCACAGGACTGGCTGGTCAAATTTTTTACCAGTCCTGCCAAAATCTAGCCTGTCCTCCAAATATAAATAAAACACCATTTCAAGACTTAAAACTGGTTTGTTTTATTTTAAGCTATAATTTAATATACGCACACAGAGCTTGGACTGTTAAATCTCTCCTAGTGGAATCATCTGATTATTCTAGTATCCTTTGGCAGTAAATATTCAAAAAGGTTATAATATAATAATGATTATGTCATTGGTTTGCTAAAACTGACCCGACATGAGGACGGACCAGATGTTTTTTTAACCCGTCCTCCACAAAATTCACCCGTCTCGGACGAAGGGACGGGCTATCTTTCCTACACTGATGATATACACAGGTTCTTGGGTCCTCTGACACATCCCTCCCTCAGTATTACAAGGGGCACAATATACACAGGCTCTTGGGTCCCCTGACTTATCCCTCCCTCAGTATTACAAGGGGCACGATATACACAGGTTCTTGGGTCCTCTGACATATCCACCTCCCTCAGTATCCATGATATACCCTCTCTGAGTATTACAAGGGGCCACACAGGTTCTGGGTCCCCTGACTTGATATACACAGGTTCTTGGGTCCCTTATCCCTCCCTCAGTATTACAAGGGGCACAATATACACAGGTTCTTATATTCCCTGACATATCCCTCCCTCAGTATTACAGGGGCATGATATACACAGGTTCTTGGGTCCTCTGACATATCCCTCCCTCAGTATTACAAGGGGCATGATATACACAGGTTCTTGTGTCCTCTGACACATCCCTCCCTCAGTATTACAAGGGGCACGATATACACAGGTTCTTGGGTCCCCTGACTTATCCCTCCCTCAGTATTACAAGGGGCACGATATACACAGGTTCTTATATTACCTGACATATCCCTACCTCAGTATTACAAGGGGCATGATATACACAGGTTCTTGGGTCCTCTGACATATCCCTCCCTCAGTATTACAAGGGGCATGATATACACAGGTTCTTGGGTCCCCTGACATATCCCTACCTCAGTATTACAAGGGCACGATATATATACAGGTTCTTGGGTCCCCTGACATATCCCTACCTCAGTATTACAAGGGGCACGATATACACAGGATCTTGGGTCCTCTGACATATCCCTACCCCAGTATTACAAGGGGCATGATATACACAGGTTCTTGGGTCCTCTGACATATCCCTACCTCAGTATTACAAGGGGCATGATATACACAGGTTCTTGGGTCCCCTGACATATCCCTACCTCAGTATTACAAGGGGCATGATATACAGAGGTTCTTGGGTCCCCTGACACTTTACCTTAATCAAGGAGGTGGGAATATTGAGGTGGTATGGTGAGTATGTACCGGTAACATTGAGTATACAAAATGATACAAAATTTGACATGGTATACAAAAATCATGAAAATTCTTCAAAACTACAATATGGCACAAATATGAAACAAATGGAGGGTATGCTGATATATAATGTCATGCAATATCAACAGCTCGATGAATGGCTAGGCACTCTCGATGCACCTGCCACTAACTTCTCTAGCCTGGTACTGTAGCTCACCGTGTCGCTCTCAGCATCAATATCTACACTTCATATTGCAAAAGCAGACCCAGCACTCAAGCTTAGTGAGTGAATTTTGTTTTAGGTCGCTTTTGGCAATATTCCAGCAATATCATGGCGAGGATACCAGAATGGGCTTCACACATTGTACCCATGTGGGGAATCGAACCCTGGTCTTTGTGTTACAAGCGAATGCTTTAACCATTAGGCTACCCAACTGCCCCTCAAGCTCAGACCTAAGCTGGGTGTGTGATACCCACCACTGTAAGGTCACTGTGTAAATGATCAGATCTGCATTTCACAAAGCTATCTTAGCGCTATGATTGTCGTAACTCTTTGTTAAAGTATAGGAAATACCATAGTCATAGCGCTGTGATCGCTTTGTGAAACAAGGCTCAGGTCTATATCATGTCCGTCACAGGTATCCACTTACCAACGTAAAATACTAATATTCTCAGGGTTCCATCAGTGATCATTTTTTCACTACGATATTATCAAGAAATCTATAACAAATACTCACTATAAATAAATAATGTATGTTTTACATTGGAATTATCTTCTGTTTCCTCTAAAAGTCGCTGTGAACAGTGATTGTAGCAAAGAGTCACAATCAGTTTTAATATTCAGCTTCACTGAATGCAGTTGAAGGGTGTATATTGGCAGAAAACGATGGTCAGTGGACAAGGTCACACATAAACTCACTTGGGCTTGTAGTCTAGGTAACACAAACATTGTCTTTCCGTTTCTGGACCCATTTTTTCACATAAATTGCAAACAAGATGTGCTATGTTCTTACATCACTCAATGACTGACAGACAAGAAGACATGGAGAAATGTTAATGATTATTGCACATCCTCAGCCCAAATATACCTTTTTCGTATCAGCATTACGTGAGTCACTGTCATGTCTGGAAAATGAAAGACATAGAGACTTCATGCCTTTAGTCATATGATGTATATGACCTTTCATGCCTTTAGTCATATGATCATCAAGTGAAATTTCAAAAACAATATTTTCACAAGTTGCAAAGGTAAGAAACTATTATCAAATCCTACATCACAGTTCAAGTGATGAAAATAATACTATTAATAAGATATCATAACAAATAATGTTACAAAATTATTTCTTTTCTTTCCTTTACATTGTTCTGGTACATATACAAATGTATACAAAGCATGTACAGATATTGAAGGTACTTAACCACTTATTTGAAGTGAGAACAGTGACTGAAGTATCTGCAATCTGCATCCTCCCATACGTTTGTTCATTATATACTTCAACACCTCTATATTATACAGGACACATTATATCTGACACAGTAGGATAAGGGCCCTTTTGGATCTGCACAAGAGCTGAGTGATACATTTAGAAATCTTTTGGCAGTTATCTTATGTTTTTTTCATACAAAGGAGAACTAGACACTTGCATCTTTTGACTTATAATGAACAGACGACATGTTGAAAAGGATGTTGTTCCAATCCTTTTACAAATTTGACCCAAGCTAAAATATTCTTAGGTGTAGTTGGCATTACACAACATCAGTTACAAAAATCATCCTTAGTCACAGGCTCACTAAAAGCAGATTTTAAAGGGTACTTTAACTGCTACTTCAATGTTGTTTTAATGACTGTATGTGTGACTTCATGGTATGGATGTGTTTTTAACAATTTGAATTCTGATTCTGAAATCTAATGTTTTATTTGTCAAACTTAAATTCTAGTGAATATTGTTAGACGATCTGTACAATATTCAGTTCGTTTGATTCATATCTTCCACATGTATTATTGGCCTCATGGCCATTTAAACAGAAGAAAAACATGATGAAAATGTCAAAGTTAATTAATTTACTAACTAATTGAAAAATATGCATTTTGATATATCATTTATGACTAAGGACACACATTGAAATAAAACAGATTATTTTGGGGCCATTTTGGCAAATATGGGGCCGTTTTAACTTGGGTCCGTTTAGTCATGGGGCCATTTCAGCCAAAACATTTGGGGCCGTTTCGACTTGGGGCTGTTCTGCCGTGGCGCCGTTTCAGCTATAACCCTTAGCCATTACATCATGTCAAACGTCTAGAGCGTGCAAGTACAAGAGCAAACCAGTTCAACAATACTCTTTCCTTTATTCCATAACTTCTAAATTTCCAATGTTCAGAAGAAGGCCTTTATCCTACTATGCCCCTTCAGCATTCAAAAACCCAAGAAACAATGTCATGTTGAACACAGCAATGGCTATCATGATATCACTAAAGACGTAAAATCTCATTCCAGATATCTCTCAATTGCACTTGTTACATATTTACCGGGATAGTCATTTTCACCTATACATGTAAAAAAATGTTCATTTGTTGTCTAACACAACGCTCTGCAATAATTAGGTCTGTATATATCAGTCTGGACCAGACAGACCTCTGATTGATATAAGCAACAATCTACGCACAGGTATTGGGGTACACAATTCAAAGATGAAGGAAGTGGCCCATTTTGAAAATCTGTAATACCCAGCATTCAAATCAACATTCACTAATTTACTACATCCTCTAGTCTCCTGCTTCATCAGTCTCTCAAAAATCAGATCTATCACTCAGACACCATACCTTATCTCCCCATTTTATGATGTCCTCAGATAAGATTATAACTGTTGGAGCAATTGATGGAACATTCGGTCAGTCAATCGATCTCACTTTCGTCAGCGATTATCGATTGGCTCGGGATACTAATCCATTTACTTTAAAAAATATTCATGAAAATCAATTTTTTTAAAAGTATGTTTCTTATTGTTATATTCAAGACCAAAACAACTGACACAGTTTCCTGACTCGTAAAACAGCAATACGAGTGAGTGGGTGAGTTTGGTTTCATGCTGCTTTTAGCAATATTCCAGCAATATCGCAGCAGGGGACACCAGAAATGGGCCTTCGCTATGATGAGCGAACGCTGTAACCACTGGGCTACCCCATCGCCTCTATAACAGCAATGTAAACAACATACTTGCAAGGGAGTCTCAACCAGAAGTATCCTGGATCGCCTTCACTGTAGTTTTCATTGGTGCCTGTTTTGAGTTCACAATGTTACGATTGAGATTATGATTTCCCACATCAGTTTTGTAGTGGGGTTTACGAATACAACCCATTATTGATCGAATTCTTATCTCTGATTATCGATCTGCATACTGTAAGCGATAACCAGCACGATAGATCATAATTGAATGAAAGTTATGATTTTAATGAGACTGATGCTTCATCAATATTTTGTATATCCAAACAGTCGCAGAGAGATATGTCAACATTTTCATATGATGCAGAAATAGTGGCGATTGTGCTAGGATTATTATTGTTTTTAGGGACAACTATAAGTGAGTGAGTTGGGTTTTACGCCACTTTTAGCAATATTCCAGCAATATCACGGCGGGCATTAACTATAGTGAGTGAGAGAGTTTTTTTTATGCCGCATTTAGCAATATTCCACCAACATCATGGCTGGGGACACCAGAAATCAGCTTCACTCATTGTACCCATGTGGGTAATCGAACCAGGGTCTTCGGCATGATGAGCAAACACTTTAACCACTAGGCTACCCCACCGCCACATTAACTATACGGGGGTGGGGGTAATAATATGATAAAGTCCTAAGACCAATGGCACTGGGCCACTCACCCTAAAAAATCCTTAATAAATGCCCAGTCCCTCACTCTGATCACATAATGACACAACACACAAGTGGCAAGTGATGACATGATGACTCAGAGTGTCACGAATCTGCATCACAAAATACATGAAAGAAACAAGTTCATTTTCCTCCATTGTAATAGCAGGTGATATGAAAAATCACAATTGATAATTGTAAACATTAATCACAATACACATGTGGGGCGTCTCAAAAGTCGTAACAGCTAATTCAAATTGAGACCGACTTGCTGCTAGTGTATGATATTTAGAAGCATGCAAACCTGTCATGGCTTGATATGATGAAATACTGTTCTATATCCGGTACCCTATCTACCCACACAAGTTTAAAATCTTCATATAGTTTCTTCTTTTTTGGTACAGCAGACAGCTTTTTGAGACAGACCCTCATCAGTTCAATCATGTCAGCTTAGTTCTGTTAGTAGTAAATAGTCTTTGAGCTGTCGAGGAATCATGAAACTATCCACTTTGGTCTGTGGATGGTCACCTAGCTCATCTCGAATTGTGGCACGGCAAAGATGTTGCAAACTTCGCGGAGTCTGGGAGAGGCGGCACAGATAGGCACAGAAGTCCTTGTGGCAACTCAACTGCTTTGGGATATCTCCGGACTAAAACAAATAGAAACATATATTGATAATAAGGCAGTTCATATTCCCCAAAAATAGACAAGGCAACAAAACAACCAAGTCTGAAATTTAATAAGACACAAACAGAAACAAATTGGAAATTTTACTATAAATCGTATATTTATATACTTATCCTATCTCATGGTATGCACCTCTCTTCTTCTTCTACGACCATGTGTGGAAACGTGCTGTAGGCTAAGTTGAATCAAACTTCCTGACCTCTGCCCACCTGACCTCTGCCCCCACTCCAATAACAATACCTGTCAATCATCTCAGTAAGCGTGCAGATCGCTCAGATGATCACATGACGCTCTGTGATTGTGATTCTCGTCTTGGAGCCTCCGGTAATCTGTGATGTGGGGCAGGTCGGGTGGGTATCCATCGCGTGAGATAGGATAAGTATATAAATATACAATTTATAGTAAAATTTCCAAATTTTTAAACTTATCCTATCTCACGGTATGCATTATCCCACTGTTAGCTGGAGGGCCGCAGATTACCCTGTCAATACTTACAACCGTGAAGACACATAACCCTAGGAGGCCAGAAGAAAGCACCAACTCCCGATATGCTAACTCCAACTTGTGATGGTTGTTTCTGATAACCCCTTAGTTTACAAAACACAAAAACTCTAGGGAGTGGGCGGTCCTGAATTAATGTGGTTTCAGCCGCAACTTTTGACAAGCAAATGGGGCAAGTGGACCCCGCCTCCCCACGATTAATCAAGTGACCCCAGTGAATTAAAGTCGAGGACCTTACTCTGAACAGTCCCTGCTTCGAAACTATCCCCCACAGACACACACTGGAAGGCGGTGAAAGAAGGAATAGCCCGTTTGCTCAACTAGTTTAACGTTCAGTACCAATCTCCCTAATTTACCAAGATGAGAAAGGACCTAGGAGCGGAACGCTTCGAAAACCATGCAGGTAATCGGAAATCAACACTTCACTGACGTAATTGCTCAGAGAGTAGAGGTCAGTAAGCGGAGTGTCGAGCACCTCTGTATGTAGCACAAGACTGGCCTCTCGGTCTATAGAGTCATAACTATGACAGTGCAGCCACGCCCTAGTTCCCCAGGAGAGGTGGTCTAAGCCAAGATAAAAAAGGTACAAAGATAAAGCTAACATCGAGATCTTTTATTAATTGTACAGAAAGCAAAACCGACACGCGGAAGGACTGCTTCATCTGCGAGCACGGGTCGATGACAGCTGCTGAGCTAGGACCAGAGGACCGAACTGGTATAGGCCCTCCACGTCCGTGACCGAGAGATCCCGAAGATAGTGTGAGGCGAAAACTGTATCTGACTTCCAAAAACATCCCTCCATGATGGCCTGGAGGGAACAGTTCCTATGAAGCACCATGGTGGAAGCTAGGGCCCGAGTCTCATGAGGATTCGCTGTCGAAGGTGGAGGAAGGTCAACATAGGCATAAGCACTCAGGATAGTGGATCTCAACCAAAACACCAAAGTGGTGCGCGAGGCAGCAGATAACAGGATAAAAGTCTCTTGCGCACCCTGCGTCGGTCCTTAGAGGCAGCTAAATAGATCCGCAATGCCCGAACTGGGCATAGAGAAAGATCTTCCGTGTCATCGGGACCCAAGATAGTGGACAGCGGTGGAATTGTGAACGTGCGGTCTGGCTGTCCTGGTAGTTGGTTCTTGGCGACGAAATCCCACCGCAAACCAAGAAAAACTTTAGCATGTCTTGACCTTTCAAACTGCACCCGGGAGACATCAAGAGCGTGTAACTCGGAAATGCAGGCAGCAGTGGCCAAAGCCAGGAGGAAGAACGTCTTAAACGTGATCTGCTCAAAGTCTTTTCCCTCCAAGGGTTCGTAAGTCGCTGACGTAAGATGATTAAGCACAACGGTAAGGTCCCAAGATGTTGGTCGGAACTTCCGGGATTGGTCAGCAAGTCTATAAGATCTTAGGAGAGACTGGAGCTCAGGAACAGTCGACAACTTCACACCTGTGGCTGGCGCAATAACAGTGTTAAGGGCAGCCAGCTAAGTAGACAATGTAGAACCATTAAGCTTCTTGGAGGTACGAAGATGTTGGAGGTACTCTGCCACCAACTGCGGCGAAACAGTAGTGGGAGAAGCTATACCTGACTGGCCCTGCAGTATGCCTCAAAGTTCTTCCACTTGTCATCATAGAGTGACCTAGTAGCAACAGGCTCAGAATATCCCTTTGCAGTTAGCGACTTATAGAGATGCGCCAAACGTGAAGATGAAGTGTGAGCAGAGACCAATGCAGCTGATTGGAGTGCGGGTGCACCAGAAGATCGAGGCGTTCGGGAAGTGGTACAGGATCTGGATTGGCCAGTTCTTGTAGATCGACGAACCACCCTCTGGCCGTCCAGAAGGGCGCGACCAAAAGAAGTGTCATCTGCTGAGTCGTGCGTAGTTTCAGTAGTATGCGTGGAAGTATGGGCACTGGTGGAAAGGCGTAAACGTTTAGGTCGTCCCAAGGAATGGCTAGAGCGTCGAGACCCCAGGCCAGAGGGTCCGGAATCGGAGACACAAACAGAGGTAACTGGTGGTTGAAACAAGTGGCGAACAGATCTACCGTCGTAGTCGTCAATGGAAAGCAGACGGTGTGGAACACCTGTGGATGAAGTTTCCACTCTGTCGGGGAGGGACGAAGTGGCCAGGACAGAGAATCCGCAATCACATTCTTCACTCCTGGGAATATGATTGGCTCGAACAGAGATGTCGAGATTGTCCACCAGCTGGAAGAACCGTTGTGTCCACTGCAGAAGTTGCGGCGACCCTGTCGGTCCCATCCGGTTGATGTGCCACACTACCGCTGCATTGTCCGAACGGATCAAGAGAGAGGTCGATCGTAGAATCTCTTGCCAGTGAGTGATGGAAAGAATCACTGCCCTGAGCTCTAGAACGTTGATGTGGTAAGCGTGATCTGTGAGAGACCACCGCCCTGCCACTTGCTGATCGAGAAGGTGAACCCCCCACCAATGTAGAGATGCGTCCACGTACAGGTGGTGTGTCGGGACGAACGGCCTCAAGCAGACTCCGCTGCAGACGTTCAACACTTCCATCCACCAGAGGAGATGGGGATGGAGCGCCAGAGGTAACTTGATCAGGGAAAGCGGGTTGCCCACCCTGATGTGTGGAGCCAGGAATAACTGCAACGGTCAAAGTTGAAGTTGACCCCTGAGGTTCAACGCCTGGGCCGACGTCAAGAGACCCAGGAGCTCCTGCCACTGACGAAGAGTCCTGGGTTGAGACACTGGTAGTGGGTGTCCTCGAAGACGAAACGAAGAAACTTTGCGATGGTCCAGGAAGATCGGGATGTGAAGGTATGCATCCTGAAGGTCTAGGCTGACCATGTAATCCCCCGGTTTGATGATAGTCTTGAGTAAAGCCACCAACACCATACGGAAATGAAGACCTTCATGTTGAAGATGACTCTCAACTTCTTGGAATCCTTCTTCGGGTCAAGAAATATTGGAGAGTAGAACCCCGGGTCGGTCGGAGTCGAGCCTAGGGATTCGATCGCAAGTTTCTGAAGAAGCGTAGATACGGTGGATTGTAGCACAGTCAGTTGACGAACAGGATACGTCCTGTGCTCCGGAAACAATGTGATAGGAGGGTTGCCGATGACCGGAAGTTGAAATCCCTTGGACAGAGTTCATAGAACGTAAGGGCCGTCCAAGATGGTCCAATTGAAGTGTAAGTCTTCCGCCCACTGGGGAAGTCGTGATAGGCATGATTGGAGGCATAAGGATCCAATCGTGCTCTGATATCATCAAGTCACTGCTTCTGGTCCTCTGATTGGAGGACTGCTCGGAACCGGAAGCTGGTCGAGAAGCAGTGAACGATCAGCTGACGGTTGGAACGTCCTCTGTTCAAACCTCTTCCTCGAAAGGAAGACAAAGATCCCGAACGAAGATCTGGGTTGGACGGCACGTAGGTAGCTGGCCGCCGTTGACTCAACAAATCTTTTACTTGCAATCGCTGAAACTTCAACAGCTCCACCGAGACTTGCAAATGAGCATCCTGCCCATCTTTAGCGGCTATATCCCTTATAGCCCCGTTAAAGAGTGATCTGCCTGACCAAGGTTGACGGAACAGATTTGTCCGGAATCTATACTCCCACGAAGATAAGTGAAGCGGGCCCCTGCGCGAACTGCCGTGAGGTAGGAGAAAAAATGGGCCAGCTGATCCAAGATGTCTGGAACTGCTCCTGTAACAACACCATCGCAGCCCTAACACAAGCCTGTTGAGGGGAAGCCGCATGCGAGACAGACATAGCCACAGCTTTAGTCGCCCTCAAAACCAAGTTGAGGGGAGCTAGGATCCTCCTAATGGCACCGTCCAGGTGCGACAATTCACGGTCATCAACCAGAAAGGGAGAATAGGTCCTCTGTTTAGAAGTTTAGAACCCAACAGAGAATTGTCATCATCCACAGAAGGTGAGGCAATCAACATAGAAAACCCATGAACATGGGAAACAGCCAAGTTAAATCAGGGTGCCGCGAACCAATCCTTAACCTTTCTTAAGTTGTCAAACACCTCATCAAGCGAAACCGCAAGTTGAGTAATGCAGGGACGAGGTGGAAAAGTGATAGAGCCGAGATCCCCTGGTTTCATACCAAAGCTAATCAACAAGTCCGAAGGTGAACTGCTACGACGTAGTCGAAGGTTATCAGCAATCCAAACTAATAACTGACGTGTGTCGACTGCATCCACGCTGACATCTGAAGCCGAAGTGCCATCTGAAGTAGGAGAAGGCGTAGCTGATAGAGGAGTTTCATCCCCGGAGAGAGGTGGAACGGCCAGAGGGCCAGCTGGCTGAACTGTCGATGGTGGAGTTGATTAAAATCAAGAGGTCGAGACGCAGAACTCTCAGACGACAGATCCCAAGAAACCGGTAAAATAGGTCTGGCTGATGTGTGAGGCGTAGTACCGAAAGTAGGAGGCAATATAGAACCAGAGGCTGGCATGGGTGGATGACCTGGCAAAGGCCGCAACGTAGAACCAGTAGAAAGCGGCACAATGGAAGACTGTGGTACACTGGAATTAAGCGTCACACAAGCAGCAAGCAACGCTCTGACATGAAGCACTGAACCAGGACAAAGCGGCATATTGGAAATAGGAGCCGCTCCGACAGTAAACGCCAAACTAGGAGCGAAGTGACGCATAGGAGGCAAGTGAGGTACCACCAGTAGGAGCCGAACCGGGAGCAAGTGGCGCTCTGCCAGCAAGCGTAGAAGTGGCTCTTTGACAGCAAGTGGCACTTCCAGACAATAAGCGCCGAACCAGGAGCAAGCGGCGTTCTGCCAGCAAGCACTGAACCGAGCAAGAGGCACTCTGACAGTAAGTGCCGAATCGGGAGTAAGCGGCGCTCTGGTAGCAAGCGCCGAACCGGGAGCAAAGGGCATACTGACAGCAAGCGGCGCTTTGACAGAAAGCGCTGAGCCGCAAGCAAGCGGCACATTGAAGGTATTCATCACATCAGAGGTAAATGGTGTACTGGAAGTCGGCAGTGCTCCATGAACAGGCGGGATGGCATACGAGGCAGAGGTAGAAAGCGCCGCACTGGAACTCAACGTCATACTAGTAGGTATGACACTGGAGGGTATGAAAGCGCGAAACTGGAGACAAGCGGTGCATGGGTAGAAAGCATAGAGCCAATCACCTTGCTGGAAAGCGCCGAACCGAACGTATCCACCCCTTGAGAGTGAATGCTGGGCATCAAACCAAGCGCCACACTGGAAACATTCGGCGTAGGATCACCATGGTTCTGAGAAATCGTCACCAGGGTAGACGTACAGGATTGGCCAGATGAAGTAGTCAAAACTACAACTCTAGGCGGTGAATGATCTGGAATCACAATAGGACTGGATACTTGTGAAAGAAATAATCGCCGGAGATCCTCGGAAGCCTCACATAGAAATTCTTCATCTGGCGACGGAGACTTAGACCTGCGAGCCGGTGTCTTGGTACGACGTTCAGTTTTCGATTGTTTAGCAGAAGAAGGACCCTCCGAAGGTTTACGGCGATCTCTGCCAGACAAAAGTAGAGAAGCCACCCGGCGATATTCCGAAAATGCATCCTCATCAAGTTGAGCAGAGTAAGTGCACCGGTCTGCGACCAATCGCAACATCCCAAACAATCCACACACAACGTATGTGGGTCTGCAGCAGAAAAGTTACTGTTGCACTTGTCGCAATGTTTGCGCTTAGTACAATTACTGCGACGAGATCTACCCATCTTGAACACAGTACAAAATCTTCAATAGAAATTAGCACACGTCCACACGATGTAGCGACAAGAAAGAGAATGACAGGCACAGAGCGTCACGTGATCATCTGAGCGATCTGCACGCTTACTGAGATGATTGACAGGTATTGTTATCGGAGTGGGGGCAGAGGTCAGGTGGGCAGAGGCCAGGAAGTTTGATTCAACTTAGCCTACAGCACGTTTCCACACATGGTCGTACTCGTAGAAGAAGAAAAGAGGTGCATACCGTGAGATAGGATAAGTTTAAAAATATGTTCTTTAAATCATTTAATAAATCCCCATTCATAACTACTCGTCCCTTTCCGTAACCTGAAAGAAGACTCGTACCCCTCGCATAGCCATTTTACTGAACTTGACTGTCTGACCACAAAAGCACAGAGAGAAATAAATAGTCTAGTCGCCGAACTATTTTCAAGGGCATGTAACTCTTGTTTACTTGGAAAATAAACATGGCATCCACACCAAGGAAATTACCTCGAAGGGTATATGTTTAACATGCTTAAATACTTTCCTACGCCATAATGTTAATATATCCTGGTTATAAAAATTCAGGAAACCCAGGAGGACTATGCAATAACTAAAATATACTTGAAGTGTCTGGGGAATAATTATGCAAGCCGAAATGAAAATTATTTCAACTAACTATTTTGACCCAATTTCTTCTTTACATACGCGCATTCTGATTGGCTGGGGGAATATTTCTCCCCAACATGGCTACGAGAGGGGTACGAGTCTTCTTTCAGGTTACGGAAAGGGACGAGTAGTCACAAATGAATAAATCGCCTAAGAACACTTTGTCAATAAAAAAGATACTTTCTTCCCAACAATTCCTATCATAAATTGAAAGCCTGACTTATTGGTCATAAAAGCATGTAGCCTCAAGCATGTCAAATCCCCAGTCTAAGTAAACGTAGGCTCAGTATCACTTGTTACACTGCTATACTGAGTCTAACAAACCCTATTAGAAGGTTAGACTAAGCCTAAGTTTACTTAGACTGGTCAAATCCCCTGTGCTGCACTTAAGTAACTTTTGTATTTTTGAGATTGTGATTCATCGGTATCATTTTGACCCAAACATACTGTATAATTGCTTGAGTCAATCACCTTTTACACACTGACTGTAACATATACATGCCTACAAAGGAAAATGCTTGAGCAAAACAACCACCTAATTATTGTCTGTCTCACATCAGAGAACTTCAATATGAAAACATAACCTAGAATGATTCGGTTCAGTGTTACAACAAAGGAATGATAACAAAATGCAAATATCGTAAGACAACTGACAAAGAAAATATGTATAATATTAGGCAGGTACCTTGCATGGATAATATATCAATTAATATCAACATAAAAGAACACTATTCACTGTATCTGCTGTTGTTCCGTATCAGCATCCCTATATTTGCTGCCAGGAATTTTGTAAACAATCTGACAATTTGCCAATGTTTGTAGAGTTTCAGCGAGTAAAACTGCATTTCTCGACTCATGAAATAAGTTTGTTTAACAAAGGCATGATGTCTCATTGTGAAAATCTATGCTCATGATGTCAATCGCGGGATTGTCTGGTCCAGATTTAATTATTTACAGACTGCCGTCAGCACTTTGCTCTAGGTGATATTTTATTGTATCTTAAAGTAAATACTGCATACTCAAACTGACAGGAATCATAATTTGGGGATGGACAAGCTGATTTTAGGCTAAAACTTACGAACTATTACGCAAGAATCATTATGGCTGGCCTCACTTGTATATTAACAATATACTGTCAGAACCTTCATGATCTATTAGTCTAATAAAATATTTCTCTGTGAACAACTTTCCAGTCAGTCAGTTCTTGGTACACATGAGCAAAGCACTCAGGCAAGCACACCTGATTTCTGTATACCATTTAGAAAGAGGTCCTATGTAACATAGATCAAGGTGGTAAAGAACTGTAGCTGAATCTTAAAGAAAAGACTGCATCTAAACATGCGGAATGCCTCCAATGCCTGTGAATTCTCCACAACTCACACGATGCAATCAGGACGCATGATTTCAATTTTTTGTGACAGCTGAGATTTATCACATTCTGATTGTTGATAGGAAAAATTGTGAAGTAAGAACATTTTTTAATGTGGCTCTGTTCAATACTAGCTACCACATTCCCTGTAGAGAAGCCACATACCTTGTTTTTGAATGTAAGCTGTGCTCCGGCCACCACTAGGTAGTGTAATACCTCCAGCTGGCCGTGAGATGCAGCGAGATACATCGGAGTCACGCCCCAATTGTCTGCACAGTTCACATCTGCTCCATGCTGGAACACATTCACAGAGTGAGTGAGTGAGGGAGGGAGGGAGCGAGCGAGAGATCAGTCAGTCTTTGTGACTACTACGATAGATAAAAGTATGTTACATAATCTTCTAGCATATGATCCTGATAATCAATTCATAATTTAACGGACACGGCTCAATTTAAGGAAACGAAACCTACTTGTACACAGTGCAACCTTGTTTCACAAAATATAAACAGGTACAACCTGCTGCTCAATGCAAAATGATATATAATGCCCAAGTTTAAGTAGTGGTGATTTAAAGCCTAATAATCAAATTATTCTGAGTCTGATAAGATCATTTTGGTATGAAGATGAGGACGTTTTTGCATTTTCAGGTTGCAAACGTTCAAGTATTAAATGCTTAAATGCTTACAGAATTAACAATAAATAAACACCACCACCATGATCACAGTCAGACAAATACTGGAAGAAATTTGAAAAAGATGCAACTCAGAGACATTTCCCATTCAAAGCTACAGCTGGACAAAATACCACTGAGCCTTTTTTAAAATGTTGCTACAACAACATGATTAATACCAGGGTTTTACCTTGACTTACAAACATGGGGGTCTAGACATCCCCTTCAATACATTTTACAGGTCCTTGCTGGTAATGTGGGGGTCTTGTAAAGTACTGAAATGGTGTAATGGTATTTGCGGTTTTCTGTGTCCATTCTTTACATATGCATGTACTGGATGCACATTTGCGGGTCGCGTAAAACACTGCCTAATACTATACACAGAGAGGCACTGTCAGGTCATAGGCTGATGCATTAAGGACAGTCCACACTTGTTCAGCATTTGTTGTATAAAAAAAGAAAAAGTATATCGTGATTGACAGCTCTGTTGTTGAGACATAACCATGTTTAACATTACCTTTATAAGCAGTAAGGCACTGTCTGGGTACAGACTCACAACAGCATGCAGAGGAGTGCCACCATGACGACACTGTGTGTTCACGTGGGCACCAAACTTGAGTAGTTCCTCTATACAATTCTTGTGCCCCTTGTAGGCTGCCCAGTACAGAGGCGTCTTTCCATAGTAGTCTTTGCGATTCAGGTTTACTGTACCTGGTGAAGTGAGAATAGGAAAGTCACCAATCACTCATGGATTATTGTACACTAAAAATGTAGTCAAAATCTTGATTAGGGACCGTTCATAATTTATGGCTAGGAGGGGTGATGATGATTTTTATGGAGACGCATGTACAGTGTGACTGCCCCCCACCAAAAAAAAATGATGTACAAAGTAAGTGACCCCAAATGCATGTCATGTACAAATGAATGACCCCCTCCCTCTTCCCATATTTTCTAAGAATAATTTTTTAATATCTGTATGTACAAAATTGCTGGCCCCCCTATTGATGCTCATGATAATCACTGGATTGACTCGATTTACAGACCGCCACCATATAGCTGCAATATTGTTGAGAGCAGTGCTAAACAAGAAACAAAACAGAAAATTCTTTGCAAATTATAATACCTATGCTTTATTACTCAAAGTATTAAAACAAATCTTTGATAAGTGTAAAAGTATATCATTATATAAATATCAACACAAGCTTTGCCCAAAATGTCAGTTAAAACATGTTAAATACAAGATTTAACAAACCTGTTTTGTGTAGTATTTCATGAATACGCCGAACATTCCCATGACTGGCGGCGTAGTGTAGATCGGTCCAGTTGTGATTATAGCTTGGTGGAGAGATGCGGTAACAGTAAGTGGTTGGTTTGCTGGTAGCCGGAGAATCCTTCACATCGCACCATGACAAGCTGCTGCCTCTCACACCCATCATAGTTAAAGTAATGCCATTGGGCTTGCCATTCTAAGTCTGCAAAAGTAAGAGTTTGTATTACATGCAAAAACGTAGTCTTTTCCAGAATTATAGTGAATATCCTAGGGCAGTGGGGTAGCCTAGTGGTTAAAGTGTTCACTCGTCACACTGAAGACCTGGGTTCAATTTCCAGCATGGGTACATTGTGTGAAGCCCATTTCTGGTGTCCCCTGCCGTGATATTGCAGGAATATTGCTAAAAGCGGTGCAAAACCAAACTCACTCACTTCTGAATATCCCCTAACTGTCCAACCAAAACCAAGTACAATGAACCATTTAGGCATCAGGTTATACACACCCTCAGGTGCAGGAGTGAGTATGGTTTTATGTCCCTCTTAGCAATATTCAAGCAATATCATTGGGGAGGCTACCAGAAATGGGTTTCACATATAGTACCCACATGGAGAACTGAACCTGGCTTTTGGGCATGATGAGCAAACACTCTAACCACTCGGCTACCCCTACTGCACCTATTCCACTTAAGTTTCAGATGTTACCATACTGACAATACTTTCTGAATTCAACTCTTTGACAGCCAATTCATGAACACAAATAAATGAGTGAGTATATCAGTCAGAAGGTTTTATAACACTTTCTTCAGCACTATCACAGCAGGGACACCAGAAATTGGCCCAACATGCAGTATCCATATGGGTCTACAGTCTGACAAGAAAGCTTTTTATCCACTATGCTACCCCCAGTAACCATCTTTCAACAATTAAAAAGTGAAACATGTTATATTTGGGATTACACTTTCTCAGTAAGGTACTAATTCTAGTACTTTTGTTGGGTTGAGTTCCATCCAAGATTCCACCCCCCCACCCTCAGAGTCTGGCACCTAATCGCCAGCACACAAAGTCAGCCATCTAACCTACTCAGCCACTGTGGCTTCCACAAAAATGGAAGTCGGACGACTGGTAGTCTAGACCATGGACTTTGTATACCCTCTTATAAGTGTCAAGTGGCACACCTCCCACGGTCGAAAGCTATGAATACACAATGCCACTTAAGAGTGGTCAAATGAAATGGGCTTCACACATTGTGCCCATGTGGGGACTCGAACCCGGGTCTTCGGCGTGACGAGAGAATGGTTTAATGCTAGGCTACCCCACTGCCACTTCACCAACATGACAAAAGCATATCCTGCCTATATCTTAACCAACTTTGTTATTATTACAAAGGTTTGTGCATCCACACGGCTATGTTTCAAGCAGAAAATCCTTTGGAGAACGTACTAAACAAATGACACTGACTAACTTGTATAAATTCTACATTAAAACCTGCATCTGATACAGTGAATGTCTCACCCATTTTGGGGGACATTTGGTCACGTCAGAGATAAGATATAGTTTTTAAAACCTTCTAGCTGCCATATTGATTTTCTAATTATTATAATATCAAAACCATGGATACAAATACTGATCAGTTATCTGAGCACTGAACGAAGTTATCAGGTTGATCAGTTGTCCCTCCATGATGTTCTGGGATGTGAAACCTTATTGACAGAAGCAGCACACAATTGTCCCTTCAAACAATAAAAAAGATTTCAATAATCGTTTGAAATGATCGCCCCTTTTCGATAAGTAGTGATTTGAAATAAATTCGCAATCAAAGAACATGTGATCATGATGATGATTTGCTAGATCTATACAGCACATTGACATTTGTTTTGAACCAGAATACAAATACCTAAAAAGAATAATATTAATAATTACATTTATATCTAAGTTACGAACCTGAATAATGAATGTTAAATTTGAGGTTTTGACCAGGTGACAGCGTTAGTGTATATGTTGTTGTTTATCTCCTCGCACCTGCCTGAAGGAAGTGACCTAACAACTATACAGGAGACAAAAATTCCGCGAGGAAATATATCACCATTCTTCTAAATTTGCCAGTTATATGTAGTTTTAGTTTATTTGATGGTCTAAATAACGTATTGAAATAATATTATGCAATAGAGTATACCGATAGAACTCTTTATTTTGCGAATGAAGACAGTACCATCACGGAAGTTGTAGCGTAATGATACACTCGTGTGTCCTTCCGGTTTTTCACGAGCAGACGATGGGGAGGAATTTCTGCGTGTAGTTGTTTCGCTACATCACGTGTACGGTAATTGTCGTTAACAGGGAAGTCAACTGTCATGCTACTCTACTGATTACATACCCCTATGGAATTTGCAATCGTAAATCCCCAAGAATTGTCAGCTATCGTAACCGTTTATCGTTGATACATCTTGCCTCTAGTTCTCTACATCATGCATGACAACAGAGGCAGAGAACGGGTGTCACAATGTGTTTGAAACTTTGGTGAATTGGCTAGACTCAGCCTAACCGGTTTTTGTTTCTAGCATAAATGTTGAGCGATGGCTAGGTGTGTCAGTGTATGAAGGCCTCAGAATCCTGGGATAGCTAGAAACAGGGTCAAGCACTTTTGTATAAGGCTTGTTTGTGACTAACGAGTCATAAGATTGAGGTTAATGATATCAATCGCTGATGCGTAAACTACAAAAAAGGTGAAATCGAGTGTGTATATGTGATAATTCAGTGACTGACATCATGAAGTGGGATACGCTAATGTTCAACTTACCAAGTTACGTAGTCTGACACACAAATTCATTAAATTGCCAGGTATGACATGCATAATTTGTTTGGATGGAAAAGTCTTAACTACAATCGTCACAGAGCAGCTGAAGGCAGATGCCGCTTATTCACAAGAGCAAGTCATTGACAGCTGCTGGGGTATTTCAGTAGTACTTTATAGTCTTCAGATACAATTTAGATGCAATAATCTACTAATACTGAAAATCTATTAGAGTAGATAACTTTGTAAATTGTGTATGTCAGCAATATAACTGTTTACATTTTTGGCTCTTCTTTTAACAGGTGTATGATATGAACCCACATATAATCATCCCAAGAAAAGAATTGTAAGATGGAACAACTGAAGTTTCGACAAATGTGTATATTTGTCACTGGATGGCTATCATATGCATCAACATACCTGCTGAGGAAGCCTCTTGGTGTGGTAAGTAATGTACAAATTGAGAAAGAAGTTAAAGGTCACATGCAACGTAAAACACAACTTTGCCGATTTTGATACCTTTCAGTATGGACTTACAGATACAAATCATCAAAAATGCAAATTCAACTTATAAAGTTGAAAAATAACGTGATGAAACGATTCACTAAATTCACCCCAGCTTGGGGTGAAAAGTGGTTTCAACAGCTGTGCTGCACTGCGCTGGGCTGCGCTCATAAGCACATGCGCAGTGAAATAGGTTCACGCAGCTTGGAAGCAGGATGTCTGGATTATAAGGTCGTGAGCAGGAGTAGTCTAATCAAAACAAATAGTAAATAATCTACTCTTTACATGAAAGAACCTTGTTAGGATCTAGATCTACTCAGCTATGTGTCAACCAGTGAGGCGTTCAACATTTCAAGACGGAAAACCTTCGCTGGCGGTGAATACTCAGTGAAGGCTTTGATGTGAGCTATTTTTCTAATGTTTTGTTGATATTTCACAGGCGCAAGCTTTTTATATGTTATGACAGTAGATTACCGATTAAACTGTTTATATAATTTCATTTGTCTATTTAACCACACATTCTTCTTACCGAGTCCAGTTCGATACTTAAAAGCAATGTCATTATTTAGTGTTGACAGAATTTCTAACTGGGATATAGATATGTCGTCGTCACAGACAAAACTCAATGTCTGTTTTATTGACACCTATGTGTCTGCCTGCTTGTCTGCTAATGACAATATCAATACACAACTTCGGTCACTGACCACATGCAATTTGAACTTAAAGGGCCACTGATGCAGAGCAATTTCCGTGGACTGGTTGTTGCTTTTGTTATTGTTTTTCTCCAGTGAGTACCCGGATGATATCCCAGAATTCATGACTGGTTTGTTACCTCTGCTGCGCCACCCTCATGCGCAATTGATAGTATAAGTATAGACTGATCAACAAAAATGAAATATTTTTTACTCGATAATCTTATGTTGATTTTGTTGTAAATTATGTAGACTTTGATGAATAATTTGGTCTCTTATAAAAAAAATATTCACTTTGATAGAAATGCTGATTTTGATGTCAAATTTTCATTTCATAGTAATGTTGACTTTATAAAAATGTTAACGTAAATGGATGTAGAATTTGATTTAAGAAATAGTTTGACCTTGAATTTGGTGAGAAGCCTGATATAATAGCATTGTTTTGAAAGTAAGGCTAACGCTAACTAAGTACATGGGGAGTCTTGGGGAGAGTAGTGAGCTTGGGTTCACTACTAGTCAATCTGAATGTTGTATTTAATGGCATTATTTTGATAACAAATGAAAACATTTTAAGTTTAACCATCTGCCAGTGGTAAAAAATGTTAGGACTGAAATAACGAAGTCAATGTACGTCTTTATATTTTGTCTTATAATCTTAATTAGTTTACTATCATATTTGTATGCATTTTGAAACTTAATAAAATGCACACAATCTGCTTATACTTAGTGAATTTATAACATGACTGTAATATCTAGACATTTTATAGATTGTCAACATGTATCATATTTCACACACATGCCCTGAGTGCAACCTAGTGTATGTTGTCTGTCTCATTAAACTTCACGGCAAAAAAAATGATTCTGTTGAATGCCATAACAAATAAAAACAAAATGCAAATATAAAAATTAAAACAGACTAAAGTTATAGCATCAGTATCAGGCTATTACCTTGTTCGGGGAATGTATCCATCAATATCCACATAAAGGAATGAGATGCCATTCATCTGCAGCTGAAAAAGTATCCTGTTCCATGTCGTGTATTTCAACAGTCTATAATGCGAAAAAGTGATCTATCGTTTCAGGTTTTTCACATTGGTGTATAGTCCCATTGGTCACCCAAGATAGCACACCTGGCAACTAATTGCATGATGGCCGCCATTCTTTAAAAAAGTAATTTCAGTTAGCCAATTTCCATGTATTTGCGGTTAATCCTTTGAAGGAAAGGGCGTTGTTTTACACAGGCACTTTAGACAGAGTGTATTCAGTATAGATTAGTAAATCTACATACATAAACACTACCTTTTGACAAATCCGCTGTGCAAGATAAAAGCAATTAATCAATCAGCGTGTTATCGGTTAATCCTTTGATCGATGTTTGTTTTGTAACTCAGCTGATAATTCCTCTTACTGCACTTCCATGCGCATATTACATAAGATGTAATACATTTGCCACATCAGACCTCAATTTCTAATGATGAGTATTTACTCCAGACACAAGAAATGCCAAATTGGAACCTTTGTTGGGTAATTTGAGTGGTGTTATCACTTATTATACCTGTTATAAATTCATTAACTGACCATCAAGTGAATGATGACAAATAACGTATGTGTAGGTTTACCACCAAACAAGGGTTACAGCAAGAGAGTAGTTATCGCTGTATTGCATGCAAGTTTGATTGCCTGAAAAAAAACACTTATGGGCCGACACTGTTTTGAGGATACGAACGGAACTCCATTGTTGTTGAAATATATATAAGCATTTGCTGTGTACTTAGTTAGAAACTGTACTCATATTTTTCACATGATTAAATATTACGGTAACACAGAAATAGGATCAAATTGGATAAGTCACTATACTATCCAAACATTTGAAAATCTGAAAAAGCCTTCACTGCTGGGATACTTTATTACAATGAGACAAGAACTACTGGGTATATTTTCAAATATCGGCATCTGATGGGCATCCACCGTTCCTAATGTCCCACTGATTAGGTTAAAGAAATTCTGCCAGGGTGGACAGTAGCCCAGTCCCTGTGACCAGTTTGCAGCTAGGTTTCATAATTAGACTGTTGGCGAGAAACATTAATCGCTCTGGATCAGTGGCCCTTTAACACCTATCAGGCTATACACCATAAACAAAACACATTGATTTATGGCCCGAGTTCGATCTCTGTCACATTATGTAATTACACAGACAGGCAGGTGTGATACTTGTACACATGACATGTTATGATGTCTGTTGATTGAAAATGTTTTACACAAAAAATGAGCATGTATTTACAAAACCCAACATCTCTATATACACAGACACAATGAGCTGTGAGGGCATTGGCAAATGAACCAGCCATTACACTTGAGTGCACACCCACCCGCTCTGACTGGGTTCGGTATCCCAGGTGCTTCGTTTCGAGGGAAGTAAACCCAAGTTCAAAATATTGCACTTTTGATTTGCGATTGTACGCTTATAAGTTTGTTTATATGTTTTTTCATAATCAGCAATGTATATTATATGTCATGAATAAGTGATAATTGTGTTTTAATTATGTTTGATTTTTTGGTTGCATGTGACCTTTAACAACAAAATTCATTCTTATTTCTAAAATTCTTTTTTTTGGGTGGTTATGTAGGTGGTTATTTGATTTACTGCAATCCTTGCTTTTCTCAAACTGTTCAAAATTTCTTATCTATTACGTTTAGGAAATATCAGTGGCTTGATTAGCTTGTACACACAAGACATTGCTGTGATATTTCAGTTGTGTTTATTTGGCAATTGGTCTGCATAGCTCTTTTGGTATCCAAATATTACTTTCCCTGAGGAGGAGTGTGGTTTCCAAATTTCTTCTAACAACTCTGTTTCAGTTACAGGAAAATATATTTTCCACTTTTCAAAAGTATCCTACATTCATGTAAATTTGTTTGTCAAGTAAAGAGACTGCTGACCTGATGGTAATATTTACAAGTGTTCAGACAATTCATATATATATATTCTGCATTAATATAAGACATTCAATTTCAGGTGAAAGCTGACATGGAAAGGGTACTTGGATATGGCAAGACACAACTGGGCTTGCTTGACACTGCTCTCCTCTTGCCATATGCATTTATGCAGGTAATAATTATGTCAAATAGATTCTGGGAGATGAAGTCACTGGGCAATTTTCAACTTATAATTTACAACTGTTGTTGTAAAACTTTCCGGTGTTTGCTAACACTCCAGTGCTCTTTTGCCAAAACAATTAAAAGCAAATGTAGCACTGTCATTGTTCCAAAGAAACTGTAATCAAGGATACAAGTGTCATATTGGTTTTGATCTTCTCCAGATGCTTCTTGGACCAGTGGGAGATCGGTTTGGAGCACGAAAGAACGTTTGGGCTTTGCCTCATTCTGTCATCACTGTCAATGGTTTGCTATAGCTATGAGACAGATTTATGCAGTGTTAAACTTCAAATCTTGACTCTGTATGAAACAAGCTCCTTGCAGTTGGAGAATTCATGAATCTAACATCAGTGACAAATTACAGCTTTTATGCTTTGAGACAATTTGCACTTCATGGTTCAGATAGCTCTCTTGTCTTACAATACATCTAGGTAGTGATTTTTTACTGATGACGTTCACCATTATCTGGAAATTATTTGAAAATTAACACTTACAGGGTTACACGTGAATTTAACTGGTTCACAAGGCAAAATATATGTTTAGGTCAGACCACTGAATCATGTAGGAAGAGTAAGGGAAGTGTTTGCTTATCTAAAGTTGGCTTTAGTTTGAATAACTCTTTTAACAAAGTACACACAATTTAATGATAACTTCTTGACTGTTGCTTTTGAGTCTTGCACGACTGTCATTGCTCATGCAACTCAAATATATGGAGAAATGAGGTAATGATTGAATGGTTTTGTCAGTCATTTACAATAGTAGAAATGTTCATTTACATCATATTTAGATGACTATGGAACTGATGACTTCGTATCTTCAATTTGTAGATTACTTTTGGCTACTGGAGCAGTTTTTCCATGTTATTCCTCCTTCTCTTCATCAATGGCACAGCTCAGGTATGAACTTATTAAGAAAAGAGAACACTTGTAATTTTAGCATATGTTATGTTTGGGATTACACTTTCTTAGTAAAGTACAGATTATAGTACTTTTGTTGGGTTGAGTAATCCCAAATATAACATATGCTACATTTGATCACTTTCTAAATGGCATTGTGTAATCATACCTGTAATTTTGTCTGTGCAAATATATTTACAGGCTTTTTGCTTTAAGTTTGAACAAATTAAGCCACACTGAAGATGTGGTTAAAGTATTTTTTTTCATGTCAGTCAGCTTTTAGTAGTCTGTTAGTATTTACTGAAAATTACTGGCTATGTTATAGCATGCTAAAAATATTTTCTATCTAGTTATTGAAGGCAGATTATGACTAGACTTTCTTGTAGAGTACTGTCTCACAAAAATCAATTTTTATATTCTCAGTCCTACTAAACATATACTGAATCACAAAAGAAATGTCGTTTTTCAAAACCAAATGCAAAATTTTGTTCTTGCAAGGTGGTGTTTTTATTATAATTGTAAGGTTTTCTTAACATGTTTTTCAATCCAAATTGACAGTTATTACCAACATCAGTGTGTTTGCTGTTCAAAACGCATATCGACCAAACGCACCGAAAAAGTAGACATGGTAAAAGGTTCCGTATGACATTGATGAAAATGAAAATGCACATGCATGTCGTGACAACCCTACCAATGAAAGCGAGTCCCAAACTCGACTGAAATCATTTTTTGTTTTGTCACAACCTTCATGCCACGTCTTACGAGAGATCAGAGGAACCAAGTCTTGGGAAGATTGCAAGTTGTCCAGAATGCACGGAGGGTAGGCAATCATTTTAATGTTCATGTTAGGACAATCTACCGACTGCAGGAGTGGTATCAGGTCAGTAACAGCCCCCAACACCGTCCACACAGTGGGCGACATTCAGTAACATCGCAACGTCAAGACCGACAGATTGTGCGTCGCCATCTGCAGGATCGCTTCCCCAGAGCGATGGAAAACAGCACGCAATACTATTGGGACTAACAACAGACCCATCAGTGCTGATATAGTGCGTCGACATTTGCGCGGAAGAAACCTCTGCTGTCAGAGACCCTATCGTAGTCCTGTCCTCACCGTCCATCACCACCCAAACCGACTGCAATGGGCAACTCAGCATCAAAATTGGCGTTATCGACAATGGAGAACTGTGCTGTTTATCCCATGAAAGCCGATATTGTGTTTCGACAGTCGATGGCAGGGTGAGAGTATGGCGAAGGTGTGGTGAAATGTTTTCCAATGAGTGTATTGTTGAAAGAAACTCATGGGGTGGTCCAAGCATCATAGTGTGGTGTGCAATTGGTCTGAACCAGTTACTTGACACCATGGTGTTCCAGAATCTTGGTCCAGGATGAGGAAATGACGTGACAGCTGCTCGCTATATTGATTAAATCATAAGACCCCACTTTGTACCACATTTTGGACGTTACAGAAATCACATCTTCCAGCAAGACAACGGTTGTGCCCTCACTGCCAGAGCAACATTGGACTTCCTAAGACAACAAGGCATTTAAAACCCTACAATAGCTTGCACTCAGTCCAAATTTAAGTCTAATAGAACACCTTTAGGACGAGATTCAAAGAAGACTGAATGGCCTCCAACCAAGGCCGACAACTGCAGCTGGACTCAATCAGTCAGTTCACAGAGTATGGACCCAAGTGCCTATGGCCTTCATCAACCTGCTAATTCATTCCATGTACAGACGATGCAATGATTCCATCAATGCCCATAGAGGCCACACACGATACTGACTTTGGGGTATCTTAATGGTACCATTTTTGGTGATTTTGTTTGTGTGAACTCTAAATGTGATTCCCGAAAATGTGTTAACCATAATTGTCAAGTTTGAACTTAATCCTCCGTTTTGATTGTTAATTAGAGTGAATTAAAGTGTGTGCTTTAAGAAACCGCAATCAGTGTGACATTTCTTATGTGGTTCAGTATAGATTTATAATATGATTTCTCAGCAGTCTGAGCAATTCCATAAAGATAAAATTGTTTGAATGACTTTTTAAAATATGATGAAATGATCCCTCTATAAACATTCAAGAAGACATAATCACCTCTTGTGAGTGAGTGCAATGGATGATGCAGAAACTAGTAACAGTCAGTATCAAAATAAGTTTCTAATACATCTACAGTTGTGAATTTCTCCACATGGATGACCATGAAAATAGTCTCTTCCATTTCCCTCTTTGAACAGGTATCATTAGATGCATGACAAATATGTTCTGATTGAATATGATGCTCATGTTTTTGTTTCCGTGACAGTCCCAATGCTGGCCCAACTGCACCAAGGCCTTGCTGTCATGGATACCAGACAACATCAGAAATGGTGTATTTGGCATATTTGGCACATGTGCCTTTGCTGGCGGTATTTTTGGTACTTTACTAGCTGTAAGTTCATCTGTATTTTTCTTTTACATAATGACTTATGGAATGTGTGGATTTGTGTTAAATTGTTTTGGTATATTTTATTGAACAATATATATAAACAGAAAGAGATGAATGTGAAATTGTATGAAATTGTGGATTGTTTGTGGGGGGAGGGGGGGTTGTTTGACATTTGTCAGTCATTATTGTTTGTATATATAGCTTTCTGGAATGTGTACATTTACATTAAAATGATTTGGTATGATATATTGAACAATATATCTAAGTATGTTAATCTATCATTTGGTGTCTGTTGCAAATGTGTCCTTGTATGAGGAACTTTTGACAACATGGCTTAACTAATTATAGTATATTATGTAATGAAAATGTTTTGCACTTACCAGTACTTAAAAAAACAATTTCTGTCACAGGTATATCTACAGACCAACTATGGTTGGAGATACTGCTTCACGTTACCGTCAGTGATTGTGGTGGGTTACATACTCAATGTGTACAAAACGCCTAGGAATTCAAGATTAGACTTGGTGCCCAGTAACCTATATAGCTATTGTTGTCATAAGAGACAAACAAATTGAAAGGATGGTAGGAATTGATGACTGAGTTGAAATTGTCATATAGTGCTCAGAAGAACTGAAGAACTGTTGTCAGCAGTTTAATTCAAAAGCACCTTAGAAAGACCTGCTGTTGAAAAACTCGGCATTACCACATTCATGTATTGAGAGACAAATGGAATGAGAATCAAGTGTAGATTAAAGTACCCAGACATTCTAGATTCTAGCCAGTTATCACCTTACAACTTCTGTTTTGTCTGCCAGAAACTGTTAGCAAGTTGCTGACAGTTCATAACATTCACTTACAATTTAAAAACCACTAATTAATGCATATGCAGTGTAGGAAAGATAGCCCGTCCCAACGTCCGAGACAGGTGAATTTTGTGGAGGACGGGTTAAATAAATATCTAGTCCGTCCTCATGTCGGGTCAATTTTAGCAAACCAATGACATATATATAATGATTATAACCTTTTTGAATATTTACTGCCGAAGGTGTTTTATTTATATTTGGAGGACAGGCTAGATTTTGGCAGGACTGGTAAAAAATTTGACCTGCCAGTCCTGTGGACAGGCTAGATTTTCTACATCTTTCCTACACTGGCATATGAATGGGTGTTAAAAATTACATTCAACGTTAAGGGTGTTTTAACAGTTATGTTAAGATGTGTATGTTATTGTTGTATGTGATCTAGTTGTGAAGGGTGACAGTTATTCCCTTTCTGTATTATCAGGCTGGCCTTGGTGTCCTTGTGCTGATGTGTTTTGTCACAGCGGAGGAAGCAGGTGTTTCTATACCTGGAAAGGGTAACGTATAATTTAGTTCACTTTAAATTTAAGACAACACTTCAGTCTTGTTGGGGTCCCAGTTGGCCCCATTGTCTAAGTAACCACAGTTCACTGTGTAGGGTTGCATACCTCAGGATGCCAGAAACCTATGAATGCTTGTTCTAATCCCTCTTAGCCCCTAATATGTTTTTAGGTTTATCCAAAGTTGTATATATCAGAGACCTGCATCACTTTGAGCTTTCGTCCAGTGTTTAGCTGATACACTGTGAAAGATCTAGATACTGTCAAACACAGATTTACTCACTTAGTAAGATGCGGACCCGTGAAGATCCGGGATAGAATAGGTCTTCAAGAAACCATGCTTGTCATAAGAGGTGACTACCGGGATCGGTCTCGCTGACTTTTTTCGCCAGTTGATGCTCATGATGTTGATCACTGGTTTGTCTGGTCCAGACTCAATTATTTACAGACCATCACCATGTAGCTGGAATATTGCTGAGTGCAGCCATAGGATGAGTGTTAATGTTTTCATGATGCTTTGACCCAATGCATAAGGCTACTACCCTTCAAACCCATCTAATTCTAGTTACAAAAACAATTTGCCTTATATGGCAATATACGATACCTCCCCTATGTAGAATAACTAATTGTAGGCTATTCTATATTGTTACAGAGTTGAAGAATGTTAAAGCAGAGTCACCTATATCTACAGAAAAACCTGGTATGCTACAACTAATGAAGATACCGTAAGTTTGCAATTTGTATAGTTTGTAAAGCTGTAGTCTACACTCAGCATAGTAAGTGTGATACAAAAGACAACTGTGGGATGATGAATATGAAATATAATTCATGGACAGTCACAAAATCTGTTACGAAAACAACTGTAATCATATATATTTTCACGGGGTACAATTTTCGCGAAAAGTTCACAAAGGGCCAGTTAGCGCATTTCAAACCCCTGAGTGATGGTATCCATCACAAAGTTCTCACAACCGATAGACATGCAGTGATCAATTGGCATCATAATTGAATCTTGTTTACTACAAAAATCAGAGAGAGGTGGGATTATACTTGTGTCAACATTGCAATTTGTGACTGACGTCGTATCGCTTCGCGTGAACGAAGATACAAGAGAAGACCAAAGACGTCAAATTTGCAATTAAACATCGCTAGAAGTGATTATTACCTATTCAGTTCTAACTTGTTTTTGCTAGGCATTGTCTTATATGCAGGGATTAAGATTACCGTGTGTGTAATTGTCTCGTATACAGCCCCGGAAATAGTAATCAGCTGTGCAGTGCACACGTTCCCCTACCTGTGATTTAATTAAATCATACCCGATCATATTTCGAGTTGAATTCTGATGCAGTGATCTTAAAAAAGATAGTATCTGAAACTATTGTTTTTTAAAGAGAAATATATTCTAGTTTTGTGTCATTTTCATTGCAGGTTGTGCTCTATAAATGTAAAATATTTCTAATCACAACTAAGGTTTTGCGACAGCTTTTTTGGTGTATTGCCGGATAGTTTTTATGCCTGGAGCAATTTAACCTGTCACCGATGAGGTTTCGTGCGATCTCGCTATTTCTACTACGAAAGCAGTTTGTTGACGCGATCGTCCAGCTACACTAATTATGACTTTTGGCAAAACAAAACATGTATGCGTATCCATTTACTGTCATCTACACTTCATTTCGAGACGTGAGTAGACGCAATATGTTAGTGATTGCTGTGAAGTAAGTACATTGTGTTAAAGGAATTACCGGTAGGCGAACATCTGTGGATTTCTTGACATTGTTTGATCATGTAATTTACATGAACCGGGAATTGCTTTGATGTTATCTGAGAGAATAAACAAATTACATGTTGTTCCTACTTGAGTATTTGTCATGACTTGACCAAGAATAGTTCTCTTGGTATGATTTTTGGCGCACGATCTTTTTGCGCTAAAAGCGCGAAAATTAATCACACGCGAAAATAAATCACACGCGAAAATAACTATGATTACAGTAACTGTTTTAGTAAGCTGGAAGTTGAACAAGCTTGTAAAAGCCCTTCCTGTCATAATTGGTTGGTATGACACATTTGTGGATTTTCATTCCACAAATCAATAGTGATTTGTTTTTGGGTTGAAAAAAAATGAAAATTGTTTGGTTCAGAAGGTCACAAATACCAAATATAATTAGGGAGGTGATTATTTCAAGTTGCTGAATATTTAAGTGCATCTTAACATGTGTAATATTCTGTATAATCACTGAACTGGAGTTAGGAAGCTGAGTGGTTTGATCCCCCGGCCTTGTCATTCCAAAAGATGTTAAAGGATATTACTTGTGTAACCCTATCTGGCACTTGGCGTTAAGGGGAGAAAAGGGACCTATGACAATGTATTGTGTATTAGTGGTGTATCCATATTAAACTGACGTATGGAATATATAGAGATTATAAAACAAGTGGGTGTTGAATATGGAAAATATTCCGAGATATTTTTAAACATTTTGATTTATTCACGAGCAGGAATATTTTCCATGTTCAAAATCCACAAGTTTTGTGATCTATTTATTACACTGACACAGGACGGGAAAACAGGGTGATCCATGAAGATAAATTGAGCAAATGATGCCGTATGTAGGTTACACAACACCAAATGTTTTCCCATAGACTTCTATAGTAGCCTTATATTTTTTTAAAAATAATCCAGGCTATCAACAGCCATTCCATGTGCACATGGGTACACTCTGGCCTTTAAACTACCATAAAAACACACTATCTGGCCAACTTGTCCGGCTCGTTTTGCGAGCACAGGAAGCGGAACACATCAACCCCAGATCCGCACCAAATGTCACCTACTGGAAAATATCTGTACACACAATAAGCATAAGTCATGGTGATGGAAATCACAGCACTGAATACTTAAAATTGTGGTCAGTTTTAATTACTGGTTGGATATGCTTTTAAAAAACATAAACATCTTACACTATTTCATCCAATCACAGCTGTCACATGTCTTTATCTCTTCATTTGTTTACATACGCATCTCGCTCAGTGAGCAAGCCATTCTCATTTAGTGTAGTATAACCTGTAGGAAAATTTAGAAACATTTGCCCTAGGCAAATCTGTGACTTATGTACTGTATATACATGCAACTTCTCAGAAAAAATATATAACTGCATGAAGCTTCAATACTTTTTCCTGTCCAACATATCTATATGGCACAAGAATATATGGATTTGCTGCACTGACAGAGATGTAAGAGTTATATCATGTCTATTTCACCAAAGCTATACAAAATGCACTTCTGCATTAATAGAGAAAGTTTTAAATCATACATATACCATGGAGTTTACTCTTATTTCACAAAAAGGGGGGGCAATGGGTTAATTCCATGCATGACTGGGACTGCCTTGATCATATCAATCCAAACTATATTTTGAACGACAAAAATCATTGAATTCAGGCCAGAAATTGACAGGTTTAACATTAAGCAGCTTTAACATCCTGACATATGTAAGGCTGGATGATGAACTTTGCCAGAATGTAATAAGTGAGGGGTTGGATTATGCCTAGCAGTCTGAAACACTGACCACAGTACCCTGTCAGCCTGTTAGTCGATCATCAAGGCAAATGACCCTTTCAACAGATGAAATCACTTTTAGACCACAGCATGATAAGAACTTACATTTGAATCTATTGATTCATCAAGCTAAGACTTTGAAATACTTCCAGAAATTCAAAACTATTGACTGTGTATTGTTTTGAGGCTGTTACACTTGCCAATTTCATGTATAAGCCAGTTCAGAGGGAACAAAGTGAAAAATCCACATAACTTTGGAAATTTATTGGTTACCCTGCCCTAAACTGAATATTTTTAATTACAATTAACAGTATTTGACAATATCAGCTAAAAAACAGAGCTTCTCTGCAGTAATTTATGGGTTACTGTTAGAGAAAGACACAATGTATTTGGGTAAACAGGGAGATAATTTTAAGATATCTAACACTCTCATGTCAATAAAATGTGAATTCAGACCCATAATATTACATTCCACAAGGGTCAGTTGTTATTATTTACATCTAAGCAGCTTATGGGATTGATGTACAGCCCTTATTTCATGTCTGGGAAGCTGAAATACTACACACTGAGGCATTAAGGGGACACTGTCAGAAATTTCTAATGTATGAGGATGACCGAGTGATGGAATTTGGTAGTGAAACATTTTGGTGCCTTAACTGACTGGGACACTTAAATGTACTATATGTACCTACATGTCCAAGTACTGCAACTTCTACAAGGCGTGAAGCATATCGAAGCAAAGGGAGTATGCTTGATTAGACACTGCCAACAACAGACTTCGGGCCGGCATGTCGAAATACCACATTGGATGTGAAGGCTTCTTTTCTGCTGTATTTGTGAAGATACACCTCCCATTCACCAACAGGCATTCTACAAGCTGAAAATAGTGTTGAGATTACATTAAATGTCAAATCATAAAATCTATAACAGCAATGAGACAGTTGTTAATAAAACAGAAATTCATTTTGAAAGTCCTATGGGTGAAAAAAGGGGTATATTTTTAAAAAAGGAAAAGAAAATTAGGTCGCTGCATATTCAAAAGGGGACAGGCAGAAAGAATTGATCATATGCTACACTGTTTGCATTTAAAACAAGGGTTTGTGACATGTTCTGCTGTCAGCAGTGAACAAATTTCATGATAGCACTGAATACTTAAACAAAACGAAAGGGAGATAACTCTGTCACGACTACTTTATAGATGAAAATAAAGAATTAAAAATATTCAATTGAAAAATAATACCAATCCCCAAGACACAGAAATTGAATTTTAATTATCCACGAACCTAATCTTTTTTTGTTTGGTTGACATTATTGGTCAAAAACTGGTTGAATGGGGTTATAATGTTAATTTGAAATATCGAGGTGGCAACAGAAAGTTCGGCATTTTGACGTCACTATCGCTGAATAACCTAGTTTGGTGCACAACACTCGTTGGATAACTTTCAACTGGTTACACAACACCTGTTTCAAATAACTGAAATTATCTCATAAAGATTTTCAATACATGTGTGTAATAAGGACTAGAACAAACTTCATGTTGAAAAATGCCCTTACATCTGGAAATCTGATACCTTGTTATTTATTTCAGTGCTTTGCTGGAAATTGCAATAACCGTGTTCTGTCTGAAGATTGTGCGTTACTGTATGTACATGTGGCTGCCTATGTATCTCCTTCAACATGTAAGTAGAGACAACTATGATATAGAAGTTGTTCTTCAGGGATGTAAAATAGAACTGTACTTCATCTCATATATACATATCCACTAGATCTCAAAATCCCATTCTCTTGGAAATTCTGTATTAAAGGACTACTATATGTAGTATATATTTCGATCTCCTTGAGCAGGTGGGGGTGTGGAAATGGGTATCTTTAGCAATGAGCTTACTGACTGAATAAAGAAAATCAAACATAATCAATTAAATTTAACATAATGTCAACTTGGATGGCCATAATTATATTGGCTTTGATGACATATCTTTAATCCCTAAGGTTCACAGTGCAAATTATGTGCATCCACATTCATATTTTGTGTACAGGAAGCAATATAAATAGTCATTCTCTTCATGTTGTAAGAAGCTTGTGAAATGATAATATAAGAAATGCTAGTTTTTGTATTCATGTCTTACCTGATAATTCATCTCAGTTTAGTAATTGACTTCCGTTGGTAAATGCGCATCGCAAAATACAGGATGTACCAGATTCGTTCACTTTGATTTTAAGTTATCCATCCCTGGCTGTTACTTGTTTACTTGATCTTGGTTTCAAGTTTCTTGTTAGTCATAAAAAGACACTGAAACTACTTCAACTTGTTTTTATTTCATATAAACTATACATTCATTTGGGAAATGACTTCAAATAAGACAATTCAAGGAGAGAAAAAACTATTGCAATAGCATTGCAATAGTTGGTTGCAATAAACTATCGCTATCGCAATAGTTTTCCCCCACAATAGTCACCCCTAATTATTATCATTCATGAAATATTGTTTATGATCAGTCTCCTCTCAGGTTTTGTCAGGCTTACCTTATTTGCTGTTGTGCATTTTTCTCAGCAAAGCTAGTGAGTTTAGATCTGTTATAGATCATTTACAAAGTTAGTGAATTTAGACCTGTATTTCAGTTAAAATATTCTCAAAGTCTGGCTGGTGTGTGCTCAACAACATTTGAAGTCGGTGGAGTACTAGGAAGTGCCCTTTTAGGACTTGTACTGGACAGGTAAGCTCCCTTACTCAGAACCAATAGTCAACCAATTTGGGATGTATGATGATTTTCTCATTGCTTTCTGACCAATATTCACAGGGCAAGTTTCATTAACCAGGGATGGCAACAGGAAAATCAATCTTCAGCTGAACACTTAATATTATGTCATTAATTGGGGGGTTGAGGGGGATTCAACAGACTTAGACGAGTCACAGAATTGATCAATTTGAAACAAAATCGTCGGAGATCCCTGATTAACATTTCAGTCACCAAATTTGTTTAGTTTGGGATGATGAGATAGTCATGAAAGTTTGGTTTAATAAACACCTTTATGCTTTCAAGTAAAAATTCATACTTGTCACCTATTATTGCATTGTGTTGTTGCGTTGTAGGTATTTTCCTGGGCGTTCTCTACACGGCACATGGCTGTCCATTCTTCTGTCTACAGTGTCGCTGATTCTCTTCATATATACAAGCTCAATGGGGAAAGTTGTAAACTCAGTGTTTATGTTCCTTGCAGGAGCATTCAATGCTGGGCCAGACACCATATTAGGTAACATTTGTATGATATTTGCACAGAGATATCTAAACATGGCATGAAAGTACAATTTACAATACAATTCAAAGTCTCAGAATTTGTAAAAGGATGGTTGGTGTTTTGATAGGTGGCAGTATTTTTGAAGTAGGTAAGATATCTTAGAATTTAAAATCCAATATGGCCACAGTTAAGAAAGATATTCAAAAAGCAGTTGTCAGTTTGATATTTTGCATAGAGTTGATTCTTGGAAGTTTGGAAACTTGCCATTCAGTTGATGTGGAGGAGTACAGTTTTGAGGACATGTTCCCAAAACGAAGTGAAATACAATCTGTATACCTTGCATCCAATCAAAAACCTAAACCCCAAAAGTAATTGGACAAGTTATTGCAGATCAATAGGGCAAAATATAGCAAATAACTTGTTCATTGGGCTTATAGCCTATGGATTTTTGTACTATCTGATATTCAGCAGTCGATGTACACATACAATTTTTTTTATATAATCAAGCCATTAATTACATCATTAAAACACACAAACATGTACAAACCCATGCAAACAGCTTCATGCAAACTTTCAATATTTTCTATTATGATGCTTAAAGATATGATTTCAGATTCAGGTTTTGTTTCCACAGCAACCTGACAAAATTCAATAAAAAAAAATAGTTTCATAAAATAATTAATTCAGACAATCACCAAACAACAGCACTTTAACAATCAACTAAGAACATGAGTGAGTGTTGTTTTATGCCACACTCAGCAATATCTGGTCCTCAGCAGTTTTCATAAAGACTCATAAAGAGAAAAATATAGTAGATTCGATTATTACAATAGGGCTTCCAGTCTTAGGCTTGGAGCGGTCAAGGAATGAAGTATGTATGTGCACTCAGTGTTGTTTGATTGTATGTTTTACATTTCAGGAGGTGCCATACCACTGGAGTTGGGAGAGAGGGATGATCGTAAAGCAGGGGCAGCTACAGTTGGTCTTGTCAACGGTATTTTACATTCAAATATAATTCAGTGTATGATAGGCAATTGAACAACATTGTTTGGATAAGCATTGAGATAATAGACCATCACAGTCCATTACAACAGTATATGAGGGCCGGTGGAGTAGTCTAGTGGTTAAAGCATTCGCTCGTCCAATGAAGAACCAGGTTCGATTCCCCACATGGGTACAATGTGTGAAGCCCATTTCTGGTGTTCCCCGCCGTGATATTGCTGAAATATTGCTAAAAGTGGCGTAAAACTAAACTCACTCACTCACTCAACAGTATGTGATGTACTCCAGCAAGTATATAGCTTCTGTTATAATGGGACCTTTTCACTTCATTACAGTTTTGAAGGCATGCCAGCCTTGCTGTTAATTTCTCTTATGTTTCCTATTGTTTGTGATTGTTATCTAGGTTTCGGGAGTGTTGGAACCTGCATAGAAGGACCAGTGATAGGGCTGATATCCAGTAGGTATGGCTGGGCCGGGATGTTCTACCTAATGATTGGTCTGTCTGCTGTAGGCGTAGCTGCCAATTTCCGTGCTGCTCGAATCTATCACAGAGGCCAAGACACAGCATCTGCACTTCAAACTGTTTGACAGGAATTATTTTTCTCAAAAGAATTATTTTTATTTTTACAGAGAACTTTTAGTGTACATAGAGACAGAATAACATGTTCATATTAAAGGCATGAACTTACATACAGTTGTTATTGTTACTGCCACTCTGTTATTGCATTAAAATGAGCTTTGATCAAATTCCTTAGTGTAAACCCACTTGTTATTGGGAGATTTTTATTAATATTGATGTACAGTTACTGTTAGCATAACATCGTACCCATGCATCCTTCATTCTCTTCCCACAGAGGTTACTTGTCATATCTTCCTAAGAACCTCTGTTCTTATACGGCCATATTTCCCGCTTCTCATAAAATCCCCTAGCGGCAAAAGATCGCAACACAAATTATTTCCCTTCTTTCTATCCAATCAGAACACGTGTTACATCGACTTAGATTCAACTTGACTAACACAAACAAATGTGGGGCCACAAATATCCCTCCTCTGCCGGGGAATTGATGTGACAAACAAGGCATTTAATGGCTAGTTGTCCGTTGTCAACGAGGGTAATAAGAGATGCCATTGATCCGCCATTACATGACTGAGTCCTGTCTAGAAGAAACGTTTGCGCATCATGCAGGGTAAGAGGTTTAGTTTTCTCGAAGCATACAGAAATTACCGAGAACTTGCGAATGATCACTTTTGAAACAGCGTCGCTGATTGCACAACTAAATCTGATTGCAACCAATCACGAATCCTGAACACTCGCACCATGAAAGGGCCGTATTAGAACAGAGGTTCGCAGGAAGGTATGACAAGTAACCCCTGTGGGAAGAGAATGTGCATCCTTGTGTTTTGCTGTTTAAAACAGTAGTTTATACCTTGAATAGGTAGCAGTATATAGACATCATAGTACAGAATAGTTTTGCTGCCTAAAGCTGAATCTCAATAATGAGAATGCCCCAACTAAATATGACAGCAGTCCACATGATATATAAGAACTAGGGCTGGCTATCAACTAATCAAATTGATAAATCAACTTATTTCATGTCAGTGTTGTGTGGTGGCACATTTACACATGGATTACTAGCAAACACAGCTTCCTGAATTTCATTTAAAAGTGGTCCATAAATATAGACCTAACTTTGTGTATTGTGGGTGTAAATTTAAACTTTATTTCATCACAATGGTTTACACGAGATGTGATTGATTATACAGTTTTCAACAATAATCATTAATTATTCTTCACATCAACAATATTTCTGATTTTCTTTTTTTTTAGCCTGTCCAATTAAGAACACAATGATAATACACTTTTGACTATTTTTATTTTACTATTGTAGATTTACTGGAAAACATATTCTGACAAATGTGTTCAGATTATAATTGTACTTTGTTTACTCTCAGATGTTCTCAATGATTCAATTAAACAGCATCAACAGTTTGAAAATGAGATTCTTTGACATCAGTTGTGTGATCAATAGACATTCTAGACAAGCAATCAGGCATTGTCAGTACAGTCATCTTTTTGAGACAATGTGTCTAATTATATTGATAATTCAAGAGATATTGTATGGATATTGTATCAGTGCTCCACTGAGAACATGCATATGAGTTATGTCCTTTTGGACAGCTATTTCCAAATAAAACACAGAATGCCCAATAACTGGACAGGGCTGAATGAGTGTCTATAATAAATATTCTCTATGTTTTATTTTGCACAAATTGGCCTTGATTTCAATGTTGAAGTAAGCATGTTTTTAGAATTTATCATCTTTATGTGTGGGGTTTTTTGGTTTTGTTTGTTTGGGTTGTTTTTTTCACTTTGAACTTGGTGAAAAGTAGGTTCATATCTGTTAAACATGAAATAAGGTTGGTTTGGGTTAAGTTCTACTTAAAAGAGACCATGCAAAATGTTTCCATAATGTTTCTATTTCAGCTTTGAGGTTTTTGATTGGGACAACTGCTCTATTAGAGATAGAATCTGCTTTTGAATTCTGATGGAATTATGCATTTTATCATACCGGTACAATTCATGTTTGCATTTGTGAAAATGAAAGATTTCCATCCTAATCTCAAAGTACTGAAGCTTGAAAATAATGAAAGTCTTGTATCTTCCACTGTCAGGTGCTATGGAGTGACATGATATCATATTTTTTTATCCCCCGCCACACGTTTAGCGCGAAGCGGGGAATATAGTATTTGGTTCCGTACGTACAAATTGGAATATTTTAAGAACCGTTGGCTGGATTCTTATATTTGGTACCTAGGCTCATCAAAGTAAAAGAAAGGTCCCAGTCAGGTTTGGTGACCTTGACCTTCATTTTAAGGTCACAATTAAGGGCACTTTAACGTTTTACCCTTTTCAGCAAGATATCTCAAGAACCGTTCGCTGGATTTTCTTCATATTCAAAACCAAGCTTTATCTAGAGAAGGCGCAGCGCCCAGTCGATTAGGGTGACCTTCACTTAATTTTCAAGCTCATGGCAACACTTTAAAGATTTCAGTATGATAACCTGCATGTTAAGCTTGTCAGCGAGATACCTCAAGAACCATTCACTGGACTTTCTTCATAGTTGACACCAAGCTTCATCTAGGGAATGTGCAAGGTCCAGTCTATTTTGGTGACCTTCTCATAATTTTCATTGTATGTGTATTTGTTATCAATTTGGTAATGCTCATTGCGTAGTTTGATGTGATCTGACACCTTCTCTATAAATTGTAGATCACACTCAATCATGCATAAGAATTAAGAAGTAACCTTTTGGAAAGAAATGTGTGATCATGGCTAGAGTACGGAGGAAATCAGAACGAACATTAGTTAACACTTGTACCATGACATTGTATCAACATCACGTAAGGTCTGATTAGGGGTGAAAAGGTATGCACTTACAACGGTATGGTACGTATTGGGGTACAAGGGCTTCGGTTCGGTCTGTTTCGATTTGGTATATGAGATAGCATCATAATGCAGAAAATTGACAAGAGCCAAACCTTACATTGTTTTATAACATGGAAAAGAATTACCATAATCTTTGTTATTTTGAATGGACAAAACTGTCATTTTATGACCTCAAATGCCGATCTTTTTTATTGCATTACGGTATACTGAACCGAAGGCAAAATACTGCAGTTCTACTAATACCACGATACTGTTTCACCCCTAAGTCTGATATCATATGATCTCTCTATTTCATCTTTGGACCTTTGTATATTCGCACCTCAAAGTATAGACTTTGTCACTGGCCTCACTTCTGAGTGCATGGCACTTAGTACTAAATAATTCATGCGAGGTATGTTATTGTATTTACAAGACAAATGCTGAGAGTCCTTACTATGTGCGTTCCTAGGTACTTAGCAGAATGAAAGAATAGAAAAAATATTCAAAGAAATATTGTGTGTGTGTGTGTGTGTATGTGTGTGTGTGTGTGTGCCTGTGAATGTGCATGAAGGTGTCCGTAGGTCCCAGTACAAGTCTCCCACACCAATTCAACCTGGTTAGGATAGGTTCAAGTGGTGTTCATTGCTGTTCATAACAATTAGTGTTGGAAATTGGATGAAATATCACAATTGATGATTGCTTCATTACCAACAAACAATCATCGAAAAAAATTTTGGTTAGCGTCTTGTTTCAGATTTTCCCTTCCAGGTTGTTATTGCAGATATGTATAACATGGTGCAACTTGCTACTTTGAAGTGATGACTAATATTTCATGAACATTAACTTCCTGGAGTCTTCAAGAAATATTTAGTCATAATTTTTCAGTTAGTGAAGTGAGTTTTCTGAGAATTAAACAAGTTTTCAGGCCCTGACAACTTCGAAGATATGTTACATTGTCAAGTGTTTCAAAGACTGAAACAGTAGTTCCAAAATCGTTTGTGTTCGATTATGAGAAAATGTGATCGATTGTTTGGTCGTTAGGTCACTGCGACCAATCTTCGATTTTTTCAATTAATCGGAACACCACTAATAACAATACCCCTCAGTGTTCAAGAATAGTCACTAAAGGTCTTCCACAAAATGGATTACAAAGCCATCATGATTTTCAACAGTAATCCTACCCTTACAAACGTTCATTGCACAACTACATGTGTAATTAATACAGATATATTTGATTGTATGTATGTCAGACTTCATGTACTTTGTGTGTTTGATACAAAGAGAGTGTATTGATGATTATTCTGAGTGGTCAAAGCACATTGATGGTGTCAGTGATTGTGATTGGTATAACATCAGAGTGTGTTTGGGCAGTTGGGTAGCCTAGTGGCTAAAGCTTGGCTCGTCACGCCGAAGACCCGGGTTCGAATCCCCACATGGGTACAATGTGTTAAGCCCATTTCTGGTGTTCCCTGCCGTGATGTTGCTGAAATATTGCTAAAAGCGGTGTAAAACCAAAGTCAGTCAGTCAGTCAGTCAGTCAGTCAGAGTGTGTTTATCATTTGTGTGTATCTTTACATGCATACACTATTATGTCTTGTTTTCCTTTTCAGTTAATGAGATTTTGTGGTATCCACAGTGGGTTTTATTGTAAAATTGATTTCAGCTGCACTGACAGAGATGATCAGTTTGCAAATGTCCTTGAAGGGTTTATTTCCTCAGATTTACATATCACTATTGAATTAAGTGCATTCATAAGCATATTTTTTTATGACTCATCATTGAATTAAATTCATCGAGGGTTAATGTGTTTTGTGTTCTTTTAGTTTATTGTATTTGCATTACAGTCAGCTTTAGATGTTTTCTGATTTTGTGGAGACAAGGGTTAGAGTATGCAAAAGCACCACAATGTCATAAGGCATGGCTGATATTGTAATTGTAGACACATGTAGAGGTTCATTTCTTATGTTGTCAGCCACTGGTTTGTTTTGTCATGATATTGTTATTTGATACTATAGCTGTAATATTGCTGACTCCTGTGTCAGATAACAGTCTCTCCTGCTATCATTGAAAGAATCTCCGTAATGGCAGAATTGTAAGGAGCCATTTCAAATGTTTTTGCTGAAATTTCTATTACTAATATGATAAAAGTCAATCCACATTACACAGATATAAAATACACATTAAAAGTTATAACTTTCTACTCTCACAACTGATGATATCACTCTGTTGTAATAGATGAAACTTATCTTCCAACATAAGCTAATGTACTTTAAAAATTAACACTGTTAAGTTTAAAAAATATAAAGACATAATAATGATCATAATGAAAGGATGAACAAAAAATTTCAAACATACTTAAAAGCATAATATTTCATAATGAATTGAATCTGTGCATAGAGAACCACCTACTTCAATATTAGTATTCGTGAGGTGAGGTGAGGTGAAATTGGGGTGAATGACGTGCTTGAGAATATTTCGCTCATATGACCACGTGCATGCGTGTGTATGTGTGCGGCTGCTTGTACTAGCCCAGACTGAAGTTGGTTTTATAGTGCTAGCCCACTGAGATACCATGCCGCAGTGAAGCATGAATACCCCACTCAGACACATTATACTGACTCCGAGCCGACCAGTCCTTGTTGTACCCATTAATGCCGAGCGCCAGACAGGGACCAACAAGTACCATATTTTAACGTCTTTTGATATGACGCGGTCGGGGATCGAACCCGCTAACTTTCGCTCTCTGGGCGGACGCTCTAACCACTACACCACGGAGGCGGTCC